TTTCCATCTAAGCCAGTCCTTTGTTAGGAAAACAGCACGATTCAGGTTTCTTTCACAGGCTTTTTAACTTCCCTGTGCGTGGAGTTCCTGTGGTGTTCAAGTTCAAGCCGAAGGATTAAAGAGCTCTGAAACTCTCCCACGTTATGTGCATAACATATATTTAAAAAATAACGGTACAAACCTGGCAGAAAGGCTGTTGGTGGGAGCCCTGGCCTTGGGTACACACGTGCAACCCATGGTTTTTTGGTTCCCCGGTGCAGTTTGTGCTTTCTGGCATCTTGAGCACAGCAGACACAGTTTCGTGATGTATCTCCCGTGGGGAAAGCTGTTGGTGAGCTGCAGGCAGGGGGAGGATGATTGGCATTGGGATTAGTGTTAAATTTTAGTTTGGTGAACTCTTTTTACTGAAGTTGCAGCACCCTCTTCTACTGCTTTATCTTCCTCTCAGTGGTACAAACTGCAATCAAGTTGCCCCTCATCAACAAAATTAAAGAAATTCATTGGCTGGGTGTTTAAAAGTAGAAGTCTGGTAATAAGGTGCCTTGTTTTGGCACTAATAAACTTAATTTAAGGACTGTGGAGAGTGACTTCCCACAGTAAAAGCTGGAGAAGATAATAATACATCCTTAGTGCAGGACATAATCTCATGTTTTTGAACACTGCTGAACTGAGTGATATTTATTTGGCATCTTTTACTGTTCTGAGGCATTTTTCTGAAGACTCATGTTAAGTACAGAGTGCTCACGTGCATCTAATCTTTGCCTTGGGGTGGGAGTAAGACTGAAAATAATCAGTCTGCCCTGTTCTGAAGGCTGAAAAATATCACTGCTGTTCAAAGAGAAAGATTTGCATTCCTGTAATTTATGCTGAACATGCATAGAAGAGGCACGAGGGGGGTTGTACAGGTATTATTTTAGGGTGTGTTGATGTGAAGCCCCTGGTCAGCCACTGCAGCAGAGACAAGAGCTGCCAGCAGCTTTCTCAGCTGGGGCAGAATCATCTGCTCCAAGGCAGTGGAGCATCTTCCTCCAGTGCCAGAAGTGGTCAGTGTGGCTGGGATGGGTGGGTTGTCCTGTCCCCTGCTGGTCCTGTAGCCTAAATTGCTGTCCACTGTCCATCTCTAGTCCAGATTAAGGGTTTTTTTAGCTGTTGTCTAAAAAGTACTAATATTTTTGATTTCTTAAACCTCGTTGCCTTTCAAAAGCTGCTGCTTGGTCTGGAGGTTGCACCATTGTACTGTTTCAGTTTGACTGATGTTTAAAACAGCTAAATGAGTAATGTAAATGTTTAAACGTTACCTACAGTGAAATCATCAACAACAAGATTAAAGCTTAAGTTCCCCCTGAACACATTTATGGTAATTTTGCTCATGTGAATAATTCCTTTGGCTTCCATCACGTTCTCTTTTAAGGTAACTGCTCTTACCTGTGCTTTTACAGATGATCCTGGCATTAAAATCGTTGATTTTGAAATAATTTTGTTTCAGTATTTACATTTTGTGCTGAGGCTTTAGGCTATCACTTGTACCAGTGCACCAGTTAATATAATTTTTCAAACATAGGAGATGACAAAATTTAAAAGTCAGAAATAAAGAGATCTTTGCTGGTATTACGTGAATATGTGAAACTATTTTTGGTCAGAGAATGTTTGAAAAAAATAATTTATGCTGTGTTTGCTCTGAATATTGAATATTTGAGTGTTCCAGAATAAAGGATGAACATATTATTTGATACCTGCAGTAAAAGCTTGGATATTATGATGTGGAGTAGCATCCTTTTGTTTTCTACCCATGGATTCCTGCTGCTTAATAGCTGCTGAATTTCCATAGCTTTTGAAGTGTCAGTGAACTTGGTTTCAGCGTCTTACAAACAGATGCTTTCTGTACAAAAGTTCAAGGAGAGTTTGTTTTATGTCAAGGGAAGGAGACACATTTGACAGCTTTTTTATCATCCATAAACTGCACTTAACTGCTTTTTCCAATTGCAACATGCAAAATATGTCCTTTTTCCCTAAGCTTGCTTTTTTTTTTTTTCCCTGTGGTGACCAGTTGCTAGTCTTTCCTAATTTCCTAATTGGAGCATCCTGGGCTAGTGGAAAGTGTCCCTGCCCGTGGCAGGGGGTGGAATGAGATGAGCTTTAAGATTCCTTCCAACCCAAACCCTTCTGTAATTCTGGGAGCTGAACAGTGCAGCTTGTTGGAATATCAGGGAATTATCTATCAACTGTAGTAGTGTGGCATATAAGGCAGATAATACAGAATCTAAAGTGACTCAAGGATATGCTAGTATAAAAACTTGGTTTAAAAAATCATGTAGGAGGAGGATTGTCAAAACCTTGTTTTTAAAACAAAATATGGTTTTGGTGGATGTTGCCAGAAATATGTGGTTTTCACGTAATATCCAATTTATAGCTCATATTCCAAGGGTTTGGAAGAATAGCACCTCCAGGCAGTGCTATTCCCTAAGCCAGTGGGAAAACTGGAAGGGCAGAGGACACCAGATTTTTACATACCTGTGGTTTTTTGTCATGTGGAGGCAGTTGAGATCCCTCAGCAGATTACTTTTGTTTTTCATCACCGGAGAAGTAAAATAAATAGGAAAGCAACTACGTAAGGATTGAAAGTGGCTGGATTCTCCTCAGGAAGTTTTCCAAGGGCCAGCAGGTTGCCTCCAAGAACCTAGGGATGCTGTTCCATACAGGAGGTACAGTCTGTGTAATGAAGGTAGTTATCAGTTGTCTGTTTGGGCACTTGTTGCCTTGAAACGTGTGTTGTGTGGGGGTTTTTTAAATTTATTTTTATTTTTTTTTAATTTTATTTTATTTTTTGGAAGGTGACAGCGAAGTGCTGAGCTCCTCGAGGAGCCCCTTCTGGCAGGCTCTCTCTGCAGAAGGTGTTGGGGAAGCGTGTCATGACTTGAACAAGCCCCAGAATATCCACCTGCCACTGGGCAGGGCCAGGTAGGACACGCTGGAGGTGGGAGCTTTGTTCCTGGCTTTTGTAACACGGCACAGAAAGGGAAATGCCACTGTTTAAAGTTTTCACTGTTACAAGTCTCAGTTTTTGCTCCACCTGTCTTTACTCCTCTCAGTAAAACAAAAACAAATAAACAAAAAACCCACTTTTTTTTCTGGTTCTTACCCTGGTCTTTCCCTGTAAAACTCACTGCAGCTGGCAATAGGTAAGGATTTTTGGTGCTTAGTGGTAAACTCAGTTTAAATCCAAGTCTCAGTGGATTGTTTTTAGCTTGTTGGAATATCAGGGAATTATCTATCAACTGTAGTAGTGTGGCATATAAGGCAGATAATACAGAATCTAAAGTGACTCAAGGATATGCTAGTATAAAAACTTGGTTTAAAAAATCATGTAGGAGGAGGATTGTCAAAACCTTGTTTTTAAAACAAAATATGGTTTTGGTGGATGTTGCCAGAAATATGTGGTTTTCACGTAATATCCAATTTATAGCTCATATTCCAAGGGTTTGGAAGAATTGTGGATATGGCAGTGGTAGGTTGGGACTTTGCTGATCCTACTTGGAGTTTTCTTGGCCTTTTTTTCTGCTTCATGCTAAGACCGATGTAGCATTGGCATTTATTTGTTATTTTTCTTGGAGAAGGCCACCACGAAGCGTCGAGAAATGGAAATATCTTTGGAGGGGGGTGTAAAAAAAGAAAACGCTGGGATTGAATTAGTGCAATATTCAGGTATTGTGTAAATATTTAAAACAGTTTAAGGTCCAAGATGCACATCCCTGGGTTTGAGTTGTCCATAGCTCTGCTCTGTGCAACTTGGATTCACTGAAGGCTTTTGTGGGGTGCCAGCACCCTCTCGTGGGCAGTGTGACAGCTGAGAATCTTTGTGACTTGCTGAACTGCCTTAGAATGGTGTATCTTCACTCTGATAAGGTCGATGTTTTCTTAGAACTAGGAGGTTGTCTGTAAAATTAAAGCTGTCTGCTCCTCATCCAGCAGCTGTGCCTGTTCATGGAAATAACACTTCTCGTGGCATTGCTCCTCCCTGCTGGCCTGTGCCCTTCTCAGCATCACAGAATCACTGAATGGTTTGGTTTCACCCTAAATCTGCCAGTTCTTCTCCACCCCACTGCTGGTGGTTGAGGGATTTTCCAGTTTTGCAGGAGAATGCTGGCTGATGTCACCGGGATCAAGGAATCTGGTGTATGGAAAGGGGATTGTGGTATGAGGTGCTGGTGTTTGTGTGGATTAAAATCAACCCCTGAGAATAAAACTGAAGATCTAAATTTGAAAACTTTAACAAGATGACAACTGTGGGTTTGCATGCAGGATGAGTTGGCTGTGATAACTTAGTTTTTAAAGGAGGTTCTTATCTTTCTATTTAAGATTTTTCCTCCAATTAGCTGTTACTTCCTTTAGCAGCACTGGGCAGGCTGCATCAAATATCTTTTAAATGATGTTGGAAATACTGATGTTACTTACTGGGAGATCCATCTGCTTAGTTTTTCTCTCTGAATTGTTACCATTTTTGCCTTGGAAACACATCTTAAGTACATTTCTGACAGTCACAGCTATGTGGGGAGTCCTTCAGAAAAAGAAGTGGATTTCAGTTTCAAGCCATCATTTTCCACCTTTTTGCTGACCCTTTCTCCTGGAAGGTGCAGAGATTGCAGGTTGGGTTCTGCTAAACAGCTTCTTGTACCTCAGTGGTGTTTCTTTAATATATTAAGTATCATATTAAGTATCTTCAGGGTTTTTTTGTTGTTGTTGTTGTTGTGTTGGTTGGTTGGGTTTGTTTGTTTGTTTGTTTTAATTCTTTTTTTTTCCCCAACCAGGAATGTCCAGAAGGGTCTGTCCCTCACCCTTTGCTGGGGGTCACAGAGGTCTTGACTCTGTTATGTGCAGTGTGGGCTGTTTATTTTTTGAGAATCGGATATTTGTCCCTTTTAAAGTCAGGAGCTGCCATTTTGGGATGGGCTTAAATCTGTAAAGAACCAAAAAAAACTAACTTGTGTTTTCTCTTTTTGCAGGTTGCAGGGCCAGCATGTGTCTCCAATAGTTAAAAAGGTGAGCACACCATATATGCAAACATATAGCAGGATACTCTGGTTCCTGAGTCTCTTTTAACCTCCTTTAAGACTGTTTTAGATTTTTCTTCCCAGTTAGCTGTTATTTCCCTCAGCAGCACTGGGGAGCTGCATTGAGTATTTTTAAATTATATTGGAAATACTGATGTTACTTAGTGGGACATCTGAGCTGCTCAGTTTTTCTCTCTGAACAGTGACCATTTTTGCCTTGGAAACGCACCTGAAATACACTTCTGACAGTCACAGGTGTGTGAGGAGTCCTTCAGAAATAAAATACATTAAAAACTAGATGTTCAGTCCTCAAAGTAAGCCAGTAAGAAGGATGGAGACAAAGGACACAAAACTTGATAATAAATATATACTCCAAAATAGTTTATTGTGGGATAAATCTGCAAACATCCCAGGTTATTTCTGATTTGGAGTGGGGCTCTTGACTTCCTTGGTCAAGGGAGCAACAGATGCAACCTCAATTATTTATGTGACAGCAGATGGTGCTGTTGGAGTGGATTTAATCACCTGAGGCATAAACTCCAAGTGAAGATTATCTCAGAGCTCTCAGGGTTCAACCAGCAGCTCTGTGATCTGGGGGTTGCTGTTCTCAGGCTGTAGTTAACCTCTACTAATTCTGCTGCTAATTTATATTTATTCTTGCTGAAGTACACAAAACTAGAAGGAAAACTGCTGTTGGCCTGTGATTGTGTTTGAAAAATACACAACTTGCAAAAAAAAATCACTAAAAGTGCTTACCAAATACAGTGTGACTGTTTCTTTGAAGAGTTTTTAAAGCAAGCTGATAGTAGGGGCCAAATCTCTAAGGAAATGAGATTTGCAAGGCTGGTTTTGGTGCATAGGGATTTTCATGTGAGATATTTAGATAGGATGTACATATGTATTCATTTTCTATCCATCAAATAGAGGCTGCACCATGGCCTTGAGGCTCCTGCTGCCAGGGAACCTGGATGGGAAGGGACTGGAGGTGCCACAGCTGCAGAGTCTCCAGGTTGGGCTCCAATCCTTCGTGACAGCACTCCTGTCTGTCACAGGCCAGGGAGACCTAGGCTGGCTTTGTTCCACTGAACTGGGTGGTAGAGGGGAGGACTGAGAAGATGCTGAAGTTTTCTCAGTCTTGCTGTGTTGTTTCTGATCTTGCCTGGATCAGTTTGCCTGGGGGGTTTGGGTGGAACACGCTCCAGCTGTTCGGTGTCTCTGCGTTCCCGCTCCAGTGGCGCAGGAGGAATGGGAGCACTCGAGATGTGCAGGTCCCAAGTTCCGTCTGAGAGCTGCTTTCTCTTTGGAGAGTAGGCAGTCCAGTTTCTCCCTGATGCCTCAGTGGGTGTCAAATCTGCGAAATACAAGATGTTACAGGATTTACTGCTTCCAGCAGACACAAAACTGAAGTTTTCTTCTGGTGTGCAGCATTTACCTCCTTGCACTTGGCTTTCAGCTTGCTTTGTCTAATCATGCAAAGCTTATAATATATTTAAGGGTACTGAGTTTTTAATTTCATACACATTACAGATTGCTTATTTGACAGGGTTGTTCAGTCCAGAGGAGAGAAGGCTCTGGGGAGACCTCATTGCAACCTTCCAGTTCTTAAAGGGGGCTTGTGAAAAAGAGGGAGAGTTACTTTTTGCACAGGCAGACAGCGATGGAACAAGGGGGAAATGGTTTTAAACTATAAGAAGAGAAATTTAGATTAGAAGCCAGGAAGAAATTCTTCCCTGTGAGATGCCAGTGGCAGTGTTTTTCAAAACAGGCCAGCCTGGGGAGTTGTCAAAATACGATGGTGCACGAAAGTCATCTGCCAGAGTTCGTCCAGACTCAGTGGTGTGCTGTGTTTCAAACAGCCAAGGCCGGACAGACTGAGAAATAAAGGTCTGAGTGCAGCTGAAGGTGACTGGTCAGACAAATCTCATCACTGTAGTAACACAGGGAAGAAACGTGTGGAGCTGGCACCTGCAAGCATTCCCTGCTGGAGCGTGCTTTTTTGTCCTGGGAGGTTTAATCTGAAGGCAGGATTAAAGGATAGCTGCAACCCCCAGCCCGGGCTGATGATCCATAGGATCCACGGGATGAACATGTGTTTGGTCAATTGCTCAAATCAGGGAAACAGGATAATATCACTTCATCCCATAGGATAATACCACATTATCCCATACATGTTGCTTTTTAGTTCATGAAAAGGCTGGAAAATGCCACAGTTTACACTGACATTGGGAAGGCTCTTGGTCAGACCTGGCATACAAACCCTGGCATGTAAACTCTGTGACTGAAACATGTTTCAGGTTGGGATATTTACACATCCCTGCTATTCCCCAATATATTTTGTGCCTTTTTGAGGCGGTGTGTGAAAATGTGAGCGTGAGGAAGAGTCATAAAGGAATGCCTGAGAGAGAACTGTCTGGTTGTCACGTGTGCCTCTTGCAGCGGGCAGGGGGTGAGCTGCATCCTTCCTTCATCCCTGCTCACTGGACTGTGCATCGCTGCACTCCAGGCTTCGAGGAGCTGGGGAAAGGGAGCACAGGGATAACCCTCCTCCTGGGAATACACTGCTGCCACTCTGGGAGGGGGGCAGGTGGGGGCATGGCAGTCCCTCAAGCCGTGGCTCTCAGTATGGGCACCCTCGGTAGCCCGGCCCGACAGCGCTGGAAACGGAGAAGGACAAAACGATCGGAGAGGAAAGGTATTTCATTGCTGCATTTCATTGGTTTTAATTGCTGCATTTCATTGGTTTTAATTGCTGCGTGGTTGAGACAAACTAATCAGATGAAAGGTTGTAGTGGTGGTGTAAATGTAGTTTTCAGGTGAGGCTCGAACCTTCATTGCTGGGTGCAGCTTCAGTGTTTGCACTTTGGGTTCATAAGAAATCCTGTTTGTTGGAAATATTTTGAGCAAGATCCTTCAGTGTTTCCCAGCATTTTGTTTCACTTGGCTGTCAAAGTTTGGAAGGAGAGGACTTTTTAACAAATATGAAACTTCTCTAAAACTGCAGCTTTCTGACTTGCACTGTCCTCCAATAGTTGTGTGTCATGTCTCAAGTTATGGGTTTTTGTGCATAAATGCCATTTTCTGAATGTAAAACATTGTTAGCTGCTAAATTTCCCTTCCAAGGTAGATTTAGGTTTTCCCTCAGTGATGAGGATAAAACCAAGCTAGTTTTTAATGTCTTTCTCAACTCTTTCTTTGCATGCAGCGAATACCTGGAATATTCAAACAAAAGAAATGCAGGTTCTCTCTCTCTGTATCCTCATGTGGGGTGTACTTGCTATTGCCAGCATTCACTTAAAAATGTTTCAAGCAGTCTCTTGGGGAAATAAAGGCAAATACTGTAGTGTTAGCTGGCACATTTTTAAGTACTTCTGATGTTCTTCCTATGTTTTGAAATGCTCTGTAGGAATTAAAAACTTCAAAACCAGGAGAGAATTAAAAGTGGACTTTTTCCTGGCTCCACTTAAATTAGCATACATTTAGATGTTGTTTTCCTGTTTGATGCAGCTGGCTTGTAATGCAGCTGGAAAAGGAAAGGTGTTTGTGGTCTGAATATTGCAGGGTGTGCTGTTGTGCAGAATGCCTTGGCTTCAGCAAGTGAATTCAGGTAACAGGAGGATGGAGGTTTGTTGCTCCATGTTATAAGCAAAAAAAATGCCCTATACTTCCTACACCAGCATAGTACAGTGAAAACCTCAATTTATTTTAGCAGTATACCAGAGAGAAAACAGTTCCTGCAGCCATGGAGAGGCTTCCTCCACACAGAACGTGCTGTCAATGCACTGACCCAAATCACTTAATATTTACATCATACATCCATACACTTTGAGTGTCTAATTTATTCTCTTCAAAGTATTTTTGACTCGAAGCGGGTGGTTGTTAGGAACTGGTTGTGACTGAAATCAGTTGCTTGTATAAAACACACACGTGGTTGGAGTGGGGAACTCACAGGGGCAAATCCAGGTGTGCTCTCCTGAACCCTTCCTGCTCCACACAGGGGGAGTTTTGGTGCCTACAGCTCAACACTCAAGGAAACAAAGCATGGGAAAGCAGGGGCTTAATAGACTGTCCCGGGAAGTGATGGAGTCACCAGCCCTGGAAGTGCTCAAAAAAACCCCGAGTAGACCTGGCATTTCATGACGTGGTTTAGTAGATGTGCTGAGAGTCAGTTGAAGGTTGGACTTGATCTTGAAAGGTCTTTTCCAACCCTTATGATTCTATGGCTCTTATGAGTCTATACTGGAGTGATCTGCTGGTGCAGCCCTGGGGGCTGGAGGGGAGGTGCTGAGCACTCCTGAATCTATTCAAGTGTATTTTTTTATAAGGAAAGGATTAGGAAAAAACATAAAATCTCTTAATAAATACTTAAGCTTTAAGCTCTTTACTGAATAGGAAAATTAGTTTTCTCTACAACCTTCCAGGAGACCTTAGAATTTATTTTCAAGGAAAATTTATCCTGGAATGATACTCACATGTTGGAAATGCTTACTTTTTAATCAATCAGTATGCCTTGGTTTCAATTATGCTTGTGTCTGTACAACCTTTTGCTTTAGTAGCTGCTTTATCTCAACTTAGGAGTTGTTTTCCATCTTACCAGCTGGACAGGGGAGAGAATATAAGAGCAGCTTGGTGGGCACCTGGCATTCAGCTGAGATGGTTGCTGTGAAATGTGCATCATCACAACAAAATAAAATACTGGTGCTTTCATGATGGTGCATAAATATCATAATTTTTTTTTTTTTTTTGGTAGCCCACAAATAAACATCACAATGATTTTGTAGAAAAATCACCTTTTGTAGACACAATTTTTAGACTTTTTCAGCCCAGGTGGATTTTGGGTAGATGTTGGGTGTGGTATCTGAGATGAGTATCTACACAGAACAAGTGTTGTCTGGTACTGTAAAGAGGAGTTTCCTGCTATGTATAACTGTGCATAAGACTATCCATGAAAAATAATAGCTGTATCTGTATATAATACATAGATAGATATCCATAATAGAAAATCTGGTTGATGGGAATATTAATATGCCGATGTCTTGTTGATGGTACAGAGTTAATTAGGATCAATATCAGCCTTTCTCTGGGGTAACAGGAAAAATTTAAGCAGCTTCTATAGAGCAAATACAAGTAGCCCATTTAGCAAAATTTCTGCTCAAATTCCTAATGTCTTTGAGGGGAGAATAATGATGAATAAGCTGAAACTTGCACGGTCACTTTGTACATAGTCTTTGAATTAAAAACAAAGGAAGGGTTGTGGAAATCCTGTGAATTGTTTTAGGTGATCCTGGCAGCCTCAGGAGTACATGTAGGTCAAGTATTTCAGTTCTGCACCCCTTTGCAGTTCTGCTCTGCTGGTGCCAATATCAGTGAGGGGTTTTACTGCCCTTCTTCATTGTCAGGGGTTTGCAATTTTTTGAGTCGATGCTGCCTGGCTAGTGGAGCATCTGAACAGCTTCACTGTGCTCAGAAATGTGGGTTTGTGCCTTTTCTCAGCACCTCCCCTCCCTGTTTGGGCAGATTCCTCTTAGTTACTCAAGTGGGTGTCTTCTCCAGACAGGTTGGGGAGAGAGGAGGATTCCCCTTCCCTTCAGGCCCCACACTGGGAGGATTATGTGATGGGGGTAGATTCAGGATATCTGCTTACATGGGCTTTGTTTTTGAAGCTGTGTGTTGTGGTGACACAGAGATATGTTTATTTCTCGTTCTGCTATCAGGAGCGTGGCATTAATTAGTGTGATGATTGCTAATGGCATTTTGCATTTTCACTAATGGCTCTTTAGCTCTTGCCCTGAAAAGTAACCTGGGAAGATTGCAATAGTGGTGTGCTGAGAGTTTGTTAAGCTGATGATAAACAGATTTAATAGTTTTAAATTACTGAATTACAATACTTAGCATGGATGTTAAAGTTGCAGACTTACACATCTGTATGTATTCTTTAATGTCATTCTTTGTTTCTCAGTTTCTGATACTTGTTTTTGTATTAGGATTATCTATTAGTAGTATTATTTATTATTGGTATTTATTATTACTGATATTGGTTTTAGTGTATTAGTGCAATACTTGTTTCTGCATCCCTACCTACTTTTCACTCTAGGATGGAAGCTTTTGTGGGGGTTATGTTTTTCTCCTTATGTTACCGAAGACAGAACCAAACTGGCTTTAAAAAGACCAAAACAGACCAATGCAATTAATTATGTTTGGCATTTAGAGCCATTCTGGATTTGCAGGTTGCTTCTGCATGCCTTGCATGAATTGTCTCCTGAAATGTTGAGTGGAGGTGGAATGTCTGGTTTCTTTTTGGACTTGGTAATTACATGTTAAGGATTACTACAGTGTGCAATCTGTGTGTGAAGAACATCATCAGTGCCAAGTTCTGCCTTTTGTTTTTAGCTAAACTGACTGCAGTTTAATGTGAGTAGAATTAAAGCTAGATTTTCCCACCAGAGCTGGGAAGAAAAATGGAATAAATTCATTGTTACAAAGCAGGGATTTGGCTACATTAAAATTGTGTGGATTTTACTGTGTCACCCTTGTCAAGTGACCATGTTTTATTTATGTGGTTCCTCTTCTTTATGACTTTGACTCCACTGTTTGACTTCCACCAGTGCTGACTGACAAGTACAAGGCCAATTTCTGTGATTTGATCCAGTCCAGTGTAAGAATGTGAAGCCCATTAATGCTCCACTACTTTTGCCTCGCTGTATTAAGGGATCTTTGGTTAAAAGTGTTACTCCCTGAGCAGTTTTGGGGTCACTGATGGCATTGTGAGGTTGGAACAATTACCTAGAAAGCGACAGGTATTATGTGCTTGACTGGTTTTCAGGAAAAACTGAACTAGCATAATTTAAAAAAAAAAAAAAAGTCAAACCATAAACATCATCACTTTTAAATGCCTGCTTTTGATTTGGATAAAAGTGTTGCCTTCTTCCAAAGCAAATGCCTGGGTATTTACATATGTTGGTGCCAGGTGCTTATATCCACCTTTAGATCAGTCTCTCTTGAAATGGAAGTCCCTGTGGTTGATAAAATCTATTTCCCCAGTTCCAGGTAACCCTAATCTAATATCATCTCGTGTTTCAGTTAACTGGAGAGTCCACATGTATGAGAGAGAGTTACATCACCCACTCTGGCCTGGTGTGGGGCTGCACCTTTCAGTCATTGACGACCATCTCGGTTTTGGGAGGGATCCTGGGTCAGGATTTGAGCAAACATCCCAGTGCAAAGCCAGGGTGCCCAGACTGCTCTGCTTTTAAAAGACATTTAGTGCTTTGTTTGCCTTGTAAGCTGGTACCTTAAAGCCTCAATATCCCTCTCCCTGTTTTCCAGACAGAAGCAGTCTCCGCCAGCCAAGGAACCAGCAAAAACCTTTCACCATGGACGTAGACGATGAAGAAAACATGAGTAAGATGTGTTTAATTTACATGGTAATAAAATCTGGGGTAGTTTCTGAAGGTGGCTTTTTCTCACAGAGGGAGGACTGCGAAGGACCTTCGGATGCAGAAATGAAAATTCTTTAAAATACAATATAGAAGAGTGAACTGGAGCTTTTGCATTAAAAGTGTTGTAAATGCACTAATCTGGTTTATACCTTCTGTGTTATACCTCACACCTCATATTTTGCTTAAAACAACTGACTAACCAAACAAAATATTTCCCTGTTCTGAACCAGCAGTGAAGAAGGGGGAGGTACCAGTAGTGCCCATGATAAGGGTTAAGTACCAGGAAGAAGTGAGGGGTGAGAGGAAGGGGATGGAGTTGAAGAGCATAAAATAAGAGGGAAAGCAGAAATGGAGAAAGGAAAAGGCAAAGGAGGAACTGGAAGAGCTCCCTGCAGGTCTCACATAGGCTGATTATTCTCATGAGATGCTGATTGTCCCAACCCTGAGCTACTGAATTATTGGAGTGCCTTTAAAGTACAAAAATACTCAAATATAGTGATGATCTTGGTGCAGCAAAGTGCTGTGAGACTGCTAGCTCTGGGCTGTAATGAAGAACTGATAACCTGTGAGAAAAGCTTAAAGCATTACAAAATATTTGTAGTTATTTGCCTTTCAACTATCTTTTTTTGTTGGTTTTTTTTTTGAAATCAGAGAAATGTTCTGTTGCTGCTGTGCTGTGCCTGAGCTGTAAATGAGTGCATATGATATAATAACAAATGTGCTTATTTTTCCCCTAAATGGCACTGAGTGCATCTGGCAAAGGGAACAAACCCAGCAATGTAGGAGCAGAAGAGTTGTACCTCAGTCTGGAGGAGTTACAGAGATATTATAGTGTGAGATAAAGAAGATAGGTCAAGCAAACCCCAAACAAACATCCTCCACCCCAAAAAAAACCAAAACAAAGCGAAAAATATTATCTGAACTAAAATGCATCTTTTTTTTCTTTAGAGTGAAATAGTGAACTCAACTGGGATATGCTTGCTAACATTCTCTTTTCCTTGGTATAAAAGAAATTACTTCAAATGGAAGCTTTAGCTTTTTGGGGGGGAAGAAATCAAAGTTTAAAATCTTAAGTTCTTCACTTTGATTTGTGCAAAGGCACAACCTTTTTCATCTTTTTATCTCTCTTTTGTATCTCTTGAAATTGTGAAGTGGCACACCAGAAGTTGCCTATTAATTTTTTTATATTATTTTACATAACTGCATTTGGGGAAAGTTTCTTGAAAGGAAGGTGGGCATATGCAATCTTTGGGACCTGTGGTTGCATAACTAGGATTCCTCTGCAGAAACCAGAATTAAAATTGTTTCGGTTCAGCTGAAACGTGGAGACAGCGATGATGCTAAATTAATATTCCTGAGGAAACACAGTGTTTGCCTCTTCAGTGGCCATAGAGGAGATGCTAGAGGAGATTTGGGGAAAGATGGTGGTTTGGAATGTTTTTATTTCTGTTGCTTTTGCATGGCTGTTACGTCTGCAGCACTCTGAACACTTGGGACACCAGCAGGTGGCTGTCCTGACCTTTCTCTTTGACAATTTTTTACCTCCTTTTCAAAAAGATGCTCAGAAGAGAGCATACTGTTTTTTAATGATAAAAGAAAATAAATATTTATTTAGAATGTCCCCAGGCCACTAAATGAGAGTGGCAGTGTAAGAGGTATGCAGAATCATCTCTCAATTCAGCTAAGAGTCATTTAGATTTAATTAACTGTGCTCCAGATCAGACAGGGCAGGGAGAGTGCTGACTCTCAGCAAGCAGGTAGTGGGAGTTCCCCAATGGATAAAATATCTTAATTGGAGACACTCTTTAATTACAGGGAATAAACCCAAAAATAAACCGATGCGCTCGGAGAGATCTCTTTTTCTTTACTGGCATGAAAATTTCCTGTGGCTTTTTTTTTCTGCTTTGAGTGTCCTATGGTTTGTAAGCTCTCAAACAAGATCTGGGGGGCAGGACTTTCCTTCTGCTGAAACTGTTGGGGTGTGATACTGTCAGCTATGATTTGAACTAAGGTAGCTTCCACAGACGTCAGTCAAATCTGCAGTTGAAGCTGCCAACAAATTTTATTGACCAGAAAATAGGACAATCTCGTGAAAAATGCCCAACTTTTAAATCATGGGTTGCATAAATGTTAAGGAAAACAGGATCTTGATCATCAAGTGTCATATTAATGATGTTTTAAGGCATTAAATACACAGCAGACATGATAGTCCTCAAAGGGCTCCCTAAAGCATTCATTCCTTGAAAACTGATTTAAAGACTGGAAAATGCGTAGGCAGGAAGAACACTGAAAACCTGGGATTGGGCTGTTCTTAAACCTCTTGATTTTTAGGTCTGTTGGAAGATCCACCAAGACTCTGCAACCTTCCTGAGGCGAGAAATAACAATGTTAATATATGGTCACTTGTAACCCCCCACAAAAGTTTAATCAAAAAGGAAATAGAATAATAAAGAGCATCCACTACCGAATGTAGAGCAGTGTTTTGTAATTCAGTTTTGCTTTTTTTAACATTTACAGTTCTCATTTTCCTGTCCTCTCTTAGCTGTGATGCTGGCAGCACAAAACTTAACACCTGTCTCCAAATGAGACTGGCAGGTTTTAAAATGATCTAAAACCGTTTCTAGAACGTTCAAGGAGTGGTGATTCACACCTGGCATGACCTCAGGACAAGGGACAGCTAAAGCCCTGTGGTGTGGAGGAGGGATGAGAAGGCTGAAATGCTTCAGAAATATGTGTGCAAGTGTGTACAGCATGGGGTGTTTGATACTAGAATCATCAAATTGAAAAAAAAAAAGGGAAATAAAACCCAGTAAGACCAGGAGGTGGAGGTTCAAGGCAAACAACGGGAGATGTTTTCATGCCATGTCTAATGATGGCATTTTTGGGGAGAGGAGGATGGATGGCTCCCTGCTCTGCTCTCTGGGACAGCCCAGAGTTCCAAGGCTGCCATGGGGAAGGGCCACTGGTAATGTCCAAGGGTCTACTGGTGGCCCTGTCCCAGAGGGGGAGCTGGACAAGGTGAGGATGAGCCTGGAAGGTGAGGGGCCTGGAAAAGGGAGGGCTATTTCTGAGCAGCAGGGAGAGGCTGGGCTGCAGGAGTTACTCCATGTCTGAATAGGGACAAGGTAAGAGATGATTTCTCAGGCTACATTTTGACTAATCTGTCAGATCTTGTCAAACCCTAAAGAAAATCAGAGCCCCTCAGCACTGCTGGGCAGGACAGGCTGAAGCAAAGGACTGAAAGCACAGCTTCACCCTCGCTCTGAGGAGGAGTTCCTTTTTCTTGCAGTCAGGTTGAAACAACACAGGTCCTTCTGGTTTGAGCAGGAATTTTTTTCTTTCCATCACCAGCTTGGATTTGGATCAACTCCACAGTGTAGAAACTTGGCTCCTTTCTCTCCTAGTTTCTTCCACCCCACAGGTTCTCCAAAGCTTAACAAGTCCAGTAGCTCTCAGGCAAGGACTAATTTTCTTCCTTCTCTCTTAATGAGACAAGGTAAGCCTGCAAATTTATTTCCCGCTCCCTGCAAGGCAGGGCATCATTTTTTCTCTCTGGGTTGTGAGGTGGATTAAGGAGTTCCTCCAGCTGCCATCCTTACAAGCAAAAAATTCTTTTTGTAATGTTCAACTGGAGTCTGTTCAGCTTGTGTTTTCCTTCTCTGGTTTCCACAGGCATTGGTAGTTGTCTTCATATAAAAAGAAAGATAAAACCAGAGACCATTAATCAGTGTTGAGTCAGTGATTTATGTTCAGCCTAAAAGTCATGTTGGTTGATTGATAACAAATTCCTGGTGCCACCATTAAGGGCAGTGTTCCAGAAATTATTATATTTTAGATGAGATGTGATTTTTGGAGATTACAGCTTCAGGTAAGAAACTCACTGTAAGGAAAATTTTAAAAATTCCCTCTATTTGTCCTTAGATTCCTTCACCATAAATAAATATTTCTATACAGAATATATGCATGAACAATGTGTATTGACAGTTTTGGCCCCATAGCCCAAATTCTGAGGCAATATGTTTTGTGGCTGAACCAGAGATACTTAATGAAATGTAGCAGATTTCTAGCAGTGTTTCAATTCTTGACCAAATGTAATTGAATTAATTGCATGTTCAGTACTGTACAATTTTCTGTTGTGCTGCTGTGATTTAACAAAATGTGTTCCTGTTTTGGCTCTTTCCTTTGATCTTTTTTGTTTGTTTGTTTTTTTTCCTTCTTTTCCTTCTCTTCGAGCACCGAAAGGAGTAACCTATCGAGCTTTTGCTGGAGGATGTTATAAATGAAAATTTAGTAACCATTCCATCAGCTTTGTAACCTGGGCGAAGTGATGTGTGCATTCTTAGGGAAGACTGAAAGTGTGACTGAAATTTGTCACTCCGAGAGCTCCCACCTTGGTTTGCTCTCATTTCAATTAATGTTTATCACCTGGGATCAGTGTAGATGTAATAGAGATATCTTGAAGTTTTGGAGCAGAAGGGTTAGAAATACTTGGCCTCCTAAAATTCGCGTTTTCATTCACAAATGCCAATAGAAAGCACAAATAAGCAGTTTCTTTACTTTCCTTATCAGCATGAAAGTTGAAGGTCTTTTGAAGTTACAGCAAATTTAACTCTTTAAATACAGCTCTGATGTATCATTGCCCCAACTTTCTGCTTTGAAAATAAACCATTGCATTGACTTCCTCCCACCCCATTAAAATATCTCACTTCTGTTCTGCAGAGCCTTAAAGAGAGGATCTTTATGATGATTTTTGGGTTTGTGGTTCCATGACAGCAGTTTTCTTGGCAAGGAACTGAGCTTGTAAATGACAAATATAAGGGTTTTTTTTTAAAAGAAAGCTATATGGAAATATATAAAGTAGTCTTGTGGTCACGGTGGCACAGCTGTAGTTCCTGAGCAAGTTGGGATGAGGTGAAATGAATGTTTAGGAAAGGCATAGAAAAAAGGATTGAATTAGGTAAATATGGAATAGCTAAAGAGAAACAGAAGCATCTGAACACTCTTCAGTCATGTTACCTGACCAAAGAGCTGCCTAATTTTTCATTGCTCGGGTTTTATTTATGTAATTTTTCAATTTGAGCAGCTAAAAATCCCTGAGGCAAAAAAAGTAACATGACTAAAATAAGAATAAAATAGAATTAAATACCTGTCTCCGAATTCTGATCTTAAGCATCCGTTTTTATTTTACTCATGGTACTTGTTTGTTTTATGGATATATTCTACTATAGTTTATATTTCTGATTGAAAGCATTTTTTAGGCTAAATGTAATCTATAAGTAAAAGTTTTTTCCAGCATAAGTTAAATGAAAAAACCAGAAGCTGTTGTGGGTTTTTGCTCTGTGACTGTACCAAATGTGTAGCGTGAAGATCACTGAGTGTGTTATTTCTTGAATCACTGAGATTGCATTACGTTATTATGATTATTTTTATTATCTGTGGGTTGTACTGCCAAAATATTTAACCTGTGAGCACACATCACTTAACCAGTTACAAAGAGAGATAAAGGAATCTATAAATTTTGCATTTACAAGATCCTGCACCGAAGGCATTGTAAGTTACTCTTTCTGGGCACCGCAGGTTCGAGCAGCACCGACATTAAAGAAAACCGCAACGTGGACAACGTCCCTCCCAAAGACAGCGGTGGGACAGGGGCCGGGGAGGGGACACAGCTCTCCAACGGCGGCAGCAGCAGCAGCAGGAAGAGACCTCTGGAGGAGGGCAACAACGGCCATTCCAAATTTCGCCCCAAGAAGAGGAAGAAAACGCCCGGCCCCGTCCTGCCCAAGAACGCCCTGATGCAACTCAACGAGATCAAACCCGGCTTACAGTACAAACTCCTCTCCCAGACGGGGCCGGTCCACGCCCCCATGTTCGTGATGGCCGTGGAAGTCAACGGGCAGGTGTTCGAGGGCTCTGGCCCCACGAAAAAGAAGGCCAAGCTCCACGCCGCCGAGAAGGCTCTGCGCTCCTTCGTCCAGTTCCCCAACGCCTCGGAGGCCCACCTGGCCATGGGCAGGACTCTGTCGGTCAACACGGACTTCACGTCCGACCAGGCGGACTTCCCCGACACCCTCTTCAACGGCTTCGAGACGCCGGTCCCTTCCGACGCTTCCTTTTACCTCGGCTCCAACGGGGACGGCTCCTTCGGCTCCGGCGGGGAGTACGCTTTGCCGTCGGCTGCCGTGGCCAGCAGCCTCTCCCAGTCGCCTCTGCCCCCGCCGTCCCCCTACCCCACCGCCAGTGGGAAGAACCCTGTCATGATCCTCAACGAGCTGCGGCCGGGGCTCAAGTATGAGTTCCTCTCGGAGAGCGGGGAGAGCCACGCCAAAAACTTCGTCATGGCCGTGGCTGTGGACGGTCAGACTTTCGAGGGCTCGGGGAGGAACAAGAAGCTGGCCAAGGCTCGGGCGGCTCAGTCGGCCCTGGCGTCCCTGTTTAACATGCAGCTGGACCAGACCCCGTCCCGCCAGCCCATCCCCAGCGAGGGGCTCCAGCTGCACTTGCCACAGGTGAGGGAAACCCTCGGGGTGCTGTTGGAGGCTTTGGGTGATGAGCAAGAGAGGAGCTGAGCCGTGCGTGCTGAGTCAGCTCTAACACCATTTCAGTTGTTTATTCTGCTTCTGTAGAGCTGTGTGTGCATATATATATATATATATAATATGTATATATGCATTAGGTGATTTATCCACTTACGGATCCTGACAATTTCATGAGCTCTTTGTATTCTCTTGCACACAGAGAAGGCTTTGTTGATGATGTTTTCAGCCTCGATCATGTCACGTAGGACACCCCCAGCCCCAGTGCAGTGCCAGCTTGGATTAGGGTTTGTGCTGAGGAGAGGTTGAATCGCATCTTGCCTATCTCAGGCAGCAACAGCTTAGATCAAGCTCAACTCAGAATGACTACTTTGAGTGGAATTATTCTTTGATACAACAGTTCTTAGCGGAGAAGAAAATTGTTCTCTCCTGCAAACAGAAATTGTTGGTGTGAACAGAGCTGAGTGATGGAAGTCAAGGTCAGATTAAGTGAGGCTGATGCAGTTGCCACTGATTTCCAGGGTCTGAACACAATCCAAGTGCGTGTGGAGTTCAATAGCTGTCATCTGAGGGTTTGTGCTCTAAGCAAATTAGTTCATATGCACATGGAAGTTACTTAGGCAAGTAAATCTTGGATGAGAAAGAATTTAAATCAAGTAATTAATGAACTAGGCAAAATATCAAACATACTAGGCATAGACCAAAAATTTAAAGTAGATTGAATGGAGTAACTTTTATTTTTCTAATGAAGAAAAATTCTCTCACGTTTTCTTGGTTGTGCTTCTCCCCAGTCAGACTATACTAATGATTGTTTGACTGCTCTCTACTGCATCTCTCGGGTCTTTTAATGATATGTACCTGTCTAAATTCAAATATTTGCATGTGACTTTTTTTAACTTTCTGTTTATTACAAGAATTTTAAGGCCTTGACCGTTTCTACCTCAAAAACGTTGTTTTAGATTTCATTATGATTCTAAGTGTATAAGTAGATGTTCTGACTATATTGTTTTCTCAAAATCAGTGGACAATATGCATATTTTAGAACTTCCTATATGCTTTCTTTTTAATGTTGCACAATCATTGTGTTACTAATGTTTCCTTCATTTTTAAATCTAGGATTGTGCTATTTTGAGTATTACAATTTCTTCAGTAGATTCAGGAATTTCAGAGTGCATTCTCTGCTCTGCTTTTAGTGGTGGATTTGATCCCGGACACCAAGAAAAATGTCACTGCCAGTAATTTATGTGTTATTTAGTTCTTGAATCAGTAAAATGGTGACAACTGGAATAGGGCAGTGTGAAAAAACCCGAGCTGAGCTGAGAAAGATCTGCATGGGTGCTGCCTCATGTAGAGCTGATTCCAAGTCAGTTGTTTATTCAGGGGCTTTAGTTCCGCTTGTCTTCAAGATGTCATCATCCTTTCTGCACTTCTCTGTGTTGTATTGCTTTGCTTTGAATTGAGTTATTGGAATTATATCAGGTCTGTTACATATTAGTGATTTTCATCCGGTATGCATTCGATTATTTAAGCAATTGTGGTGTTTTCAAGTCCTGCTTTATTTATTTATTTCTTTTTAAAGTCTGTGAGATGTTTGAACTTTTTAGACTCTTCTGCTGGGGAAAAGAGTTGAGGAAAAACGCAAATACCAAATGCCTGGGGGAAATAATAGAAATACAGTGTGGTTGTGCTGATGAAGATGTTGGAGTTGACTGTGAGGTGGTGAGAGAAGTGGATAGAGTGAGAAGTGTCGAGGGGAAAGCTGATCCCTGTGGCAGGGGTGGTCAGGGGTACGGCTGAAATGCACATCTGTGATCCCACCAGTTACCTCCTGGTAAGGAAATCAAGTGCAGAAATGCACATGCAAGGTATCAAGTGGTACAGAAGGGCAGTTGCAATCAAAAATTAGGTATGGTATGTACAGCCTGTACAGGCAGTAAAAATACCCCACTGAAAAAATCAGCACTCATGCATTTATCACCGTGGCAGTGGGTGTGGTAGGACTGAAGAGGTTGTCAGACTTGCATCAGAGAGGCTTGCCTCTCCAAAGCAAGGAAAATATTTTTATGGTTAGCTCTGGTCTGTGAATTGATCATAAAATCATCGAATCACAGAATGGCTTAGGTTGGAAGGGATGTTAAAGCTCATCTCGTTCCAACCCCCCTGCCATGGCCAGGGACACCTTCCACCAACCCAGGTTGTTCCAAGCCCTGTCCAGCCTGGCATTGGACACTTCCAGGGATGGGGCAGCCACAGCTTCTCTGGGCAACCTGTGCCAGGGCCTGCCCACCCTCACAGGGAAGAACTTCCTCCCACTATCCCATCTAACCCTGCCCTCTGTCAGTGGGAAGCCATTCCCTGAGTCCTGTCACTCCATGCCCTTGTCCAAAGTCCCTCTCCAGCTTTCCTGGAGCTCCTTAGGCACTGGAAGGGGCCCTGAGGTCTCCCCAGAGCCTTCTCCAGGCTGAACACCCCCAGCTTCCTCAGTCTGTCTCCAGATCAGAGGGGCTCTTGGAGCATCTCCAGGGCCCCCTCAGGACTCAATCCAACAGGTTCCTCTCTTTTGTGTTGAGGGCACCACAGCTGGATGCAGCACTGGGGGGGGTCTCACAAGAGCAGAGCAGAGGGGAAGAATCACCCCCCTGAACAACCACCCTCCCCTTACCTCCCACCCCTCAGTGCAGGGAGCCACGGGATGTACCAAGGGCTCTAAAATGCTCCCTTGGGCTTCACTTATTTCTTCATTTTGGATGTCGTTATCACCTCCCAGAGGCCACATGCTTTCTCTCCGTTGTTTCTTTGCCCTTAGACCCTCCCTGCTTCCCAAGGAAGGCTGGGGGGGGGGTCTCACACCTCTGTCAGAGGTGAGACAGTGCTGTCCCTGAAAGACTCAGACCAGCACCAAATGCTTTGGGGAAAAAACCTGAGGAAAGAACATGTTGGTAGCAGTAATTCCCCAGTACATGCTTTGAACTGTCAGCAGTCCAGGCTGCTGGCATCACTCAGGGGAGCCTTTTCCATCAGATGGTGGGAGCCTGCTGGTGGAGCTGTCACCTCTTCAGGCCACTGATGGCCTCTGTTAGAAAGGTTTTCCTAATGCTGTTTCCCAGATTTCCTCAAACTGCTTGCTTGAAAAGACAGCTGATTAGTCAGGTTGTGCAGAGAGGTGGGAATGGGAATTGTAAATATTGAGGCTTAAATACAGAGTTAAATACAGACCGTTGTGAGGGAAATCAAGTTGAGCTACACAAATATAAGCACTGTAGCTGCAGATGAGATAAATTTTAAAAAATCTTCACTAAAGAGAGTATTTTTAATCATTCACATAACTCCATTTATTCAGTTTATCCTTTATATTGTTGTGGACAAACATTGAAACAAAACATTAAGCGAGAGAAATGGAAACAGGTACTGCAAGGGCCACTTGTACTTGAGGTGCTTTTTTAAATCCTTTTAATAATTGCTGTGGAATTGGAAGAAATGTAAAAGATGTACCAGCATAAGCAGTGAGAGACTCTACAGGCAGAGTTTTCTTTAAGTCAGTCCAGGGAACTTTGGAGCATTATAAAATAATTACCCCGTTTTATTAGCATAAATATGTTTCTATTCTCTCTGAACTGTGTGTGCTGGTCTCTGTTAGAGGGGAGGGCCTGGCTGGCCTTGATTTTTACCTGCTGTGGAAAGTTCCCAGAAGCCCTAAACTCTGAAGGTAAGGAAAAAACCCCAAACAAACCTGAGGGAGAACATTTCTGCTTGAGACATTCACTGGGAGGGTGAGACATGAGTTCAGTTTCTGTTCTGATTTAATATTTATTTACGTGAAAGCCAGTAGAGTGAGAATGAGATGTGCAAGATCCCTCCCCAGGCCTGGGATTGTGGAAACAGCTTCAAGTCCTTGGTTTTGAGATGGGGACAGCATTTTTGGCCAGTAAGTTTTGTTCCCAGCAATGCACTTGGTCTGCTCATCACTTGCTGTGTTCCCATCTCCTTCATGCTCTTAACTATGTCAGTTAATAGACTGCCTGGGAGAGAAGGATAATTCTTCTAATTTATTGGGTAAGTATTCTAGTAAAAGACCAAAGTGACTTTAGTGGCTGCATCTGTAGGCGTTTAACAGTGTTTATTCCCCATCACCCAGCTGCTGTCACGCAATTTGAGTATCAAATTCAAATAAAAAGTCTTTAATACACCTGCCTGAGTTTTGGCAGTGATTTCACCCCCTCCCCTCCAGTTCCTCCTGGATTCTTTGCATCTCCAGTGGTCATTTTGTCTCGCTTGAGTTCTGCCTGGTCCTCCTTATCAGCCCTCCCCACTGCCTGGCTCCGCGTTCCTCCGAGCGGTTTTGGGTTTCCAGCAGCTCAGTTCCAGGCTGCAGCCCCATCCCCTTCTGCTGCACCAGCTTCCATCTTCCCAGAGGGGCCTCATTGTGTTCTCATTTGTCTACCAATGCCACAGTTTTCCTCTGCTTTGCTTGTTATGTAAAAAAAAAACCATCTTTTTGTTGTTGTTTGTTTGGTTTTGTTTTGTTTAGATTTTACCATTGCCTGGTAGTTTGTCAGCTGCCAGCCATGTTCTCCTGTTCATCACCTCACAGTGTAAGGTAGAGCAGAGAACACAAGGATTACAGAAATGAGAGCATAAAGCTTGCAGCTGGGGAGCAGTATCCATAATTATGCAGTGAGGTCATGGATAAAACCATGGCAAGGGGACTCTGTGCCTTGACCCTGCAGTGATCTGCCCATGTGGCAGCAGGGAGGTTAATTATTTAAACTCTTTTTGTATTAATTTTCCATTTCTAACACCAGAATGATTAAAAAAAAGCCCTAATTATTTGCTTTTGTGTGTGTTTATTTACCTCAAGTTCAGCTTTTTGTATTAGGTAAGTACTGGCACAATTAAATGCAGATTTAGTTCGTGGTGGTTGTGCTGTCAGAGCATGGACTCGAACCCACTTTTGGGTCCAGCAACAAAAAGGACATCTCGGGCACTGCTGGATGTCAGCACATGGTCGCCTTGGCTTTGGTTTCTTTTCACGTCACAATCCAACAATTTGGTCTCGTGGCTGTTCGAGTTTTCCTGGAGGTGAAAAAGAGAAATCCTTCCTAATTCTGAGATAGCTTTTTTGGGGTTAAATTTTTTATTCCTAACTTTGTGTATGTCCCGTAAAAATAAGAAATAGAAAGTGTTAAACCAGTGATGAAAGCAAAGCCGTCCTTATTTATGTAAGAGCTGGGTAAGGAGTTAGATTGTTATAGGAGGTTGGTTTGAAGGGCCTGGATTTTTCACTTCAATCTTCTTGTCAGGTCCAATGTTGAGGATGCTGAAATGATGCGTGTTGAGGTTTGAGCATGAGAATATAAACTTATCTGTCTATCTGGTTGTTCTCCTAAGCCTCAAATGTTCATCACAGTCATGAGCATTGGGTGCTTTGATGCTTGGCTCAGGGCTGTCTGACCCCATTTCAGCAGATGTGGAGCACACCTACCTCTGCTTCCACTTGCAGAGAGCTGCGAGTGATGCCTCAATGTCCATTTTTAAAGTGAAATATTAAAAATTCATTTCATTTCCTGTGTCCAATCTCTTCAAACTGTAAGTTTTTATAACTTGATGCTCCTGTAATTTTAATTTATTAATATTTTTAATTATTAATTTTTCTAACATGCATTTCTGTGTGATCCCACAGGTTTTAGCTGATGCTGTTGCACGCTTGGTTGTAGATAAATTCAGTGATTTGACTGAAAATTTCACATCTCCGCATGCACGTCGAAAAGTTCTTGCTGGAGTTGTCATGACAACAGGTAAATTAAAAAAAAAAATAAAAGTAGTATTTTAACTGCTTGAGCACAAAAGCTCTGTTTGCATTCTAGTAAACTACCTTTCTTCAGTCAACTGGTATTGAAATATATTTTTACTGTTTAATCTCGAAGGTGGGCTAAATATAGTAAATAAATCTCAGCTAAGGATATTTACAGGAAAGTTAGACCTGCAAATACTTCTGTTTCCACAGAGCTCCAGTTTGCTACCTGATTGAGACATCTGAGTAGCTCATGGTGTACAAAATGTAGCTTTTAAAATGAATCATGAAACTTCTGAAAAGTAAATAAGCTTCCCTCCGTCAGTCGTGCAGATGGCACTCTTGGTTTGGGATTATTATGTGAGAATTATGCTCCTTCCCAAGTTTTTAAGGCTTTGCACTTTGTTATTCTTGCTGCATTTTATTCTTAGTCAGTCATTTTAGTAAAAATATCTGAAGAGAGCAGCTTAAGTTGTGGCAGATGGGAGTGGTGTGCACGTGCAAGCAGTGGTGTCGTGGTTCCCCGGTTGCTGACACGAGATCTGTGCTTGTCCACATCTCCCAAAACAGTGAAGTTCTGCCCTAAACTAATCTACAACCACACTGCTACTGAATTTTCCTCGTGCTGAGGTTGATCTTGGTCTTCAGTCCATCTGAACCCTGGTTGGGACGTTCATTTTGAGCCTCTCCCAGTGCTGTCCCAGCTCTGTCCCCTCCTGGTCTCTTGCCCACCCCCAGCAGGTTTGGAAAGCCTTGATGCTCCTCAGGCAACAACCAAACCTCCACCTGGTAACAAACACTCTTTTAACCCCAAATATAAAGCACTATGAGGAACATGGTGTCGTTTTGTTTAATATATTTTGTGGCACTTGAAAGGTTTTTATCTAATTACAGCCCTGTATCTGCAATTCCCAGCAGAGCCGAGTGCCAAAGAATCAAGACTTAATTAACATGTGAATACCTTTTGAATAACTGAAGAAACAGCTTTACACAGAATTAGAAGACATCTTTGCATGGATACATGTCTGGGGAACCTCTGGAATTGGATGACCCTGTTGCATAGCTGTGTGTTCCAGCTCCTTGCTTCTCCTCCAGCCCTTTGGGCAGGAGGGGCCAGCTGGGCTCAGGCTCATTTTTTTAACTTGTTGGGCTTTTTTTACCTTGAGTGTCTTACTAGGTGACATTTTGACCTGACTCTTTGAGCTGAAAGTTACTGGCTGCCTGAACCTCAGGAAAAAAAGCACTTTGGGCCTCAAGCTTTAATAACTCTTCCTGAAGCAGCATTTTTTTCCCTGCAGGTTTTCAGTTTTTAACTTGCCTTGTTAAATGAGCGAACAACAACACCAAAAAAAAAGAGCCTTATTCGGGTTCTGCAGAAAATCCCTCTGTATGTTATTTGTGATGCTAATTGCATCTTCTTCCTGAACTTTTGTTTGGCAGGCACGGATGTGAAAGATGCCCTTGTAATAAGTGTTTCTACAGGAACGAAATGTATCAATGGTGAATACATGAGCGACCGTGGTCTCGCATTAAACGATTGCCACGCGGAAATCATAGCTCGGCGGTGCCTGCTGAAATTTCTCTACACACAACTTGAGCTTTACCTGAGGTAAGCTGGAGGGAAAAGGAAGATGAGCTGAAAATCTGTCCATGCAAAACATCTGTCTTCCTTATTTCAGTGTGAAACGCTTCTCCTGATGGGTCACGATGGTGATTTAGAGCTCGGGCCCTCTGCCCTCGAGTTTGACTTCATTGACAAATCATTTATTCAGTGAGGTGTCTATCATGAAAGGGAAGAACAGGAAAAATAATTGGGAATCATTTTGTAAAACTGCAAACATATAAAACAAAATAATATCAAGTGGGTTAAAAGGTGCTGGTGTTTGTTTGCTGGTTAAGTGCCTGAAAGCTCTTGACATCTGGGGATGCTTCTTGTCTTGATGGTCCTTTAGTTTTGTTAATTGTAATAACTCTTAGATTAATATTACAAAATTTTCAGCCATCCTGTGTTTGTTTTTAATGCCTCTTAAGACTGCCCAGCCTATGGGTATTTCCCTGTTAATGTCAGTCTTGACTCTAGCTTTCTTCTCTGTTTCAGCAATAAAGAAGATCAGCAAAAATCCATATTTATCAGATCAGAGCAAGGCGGGTTTAAGCTGAAGGAGAATGTGCAGTTCCACCTCTATATCAGCACATCTCCTTGTGGTGATGCTCGGATTTTCTCCCCCCACGAAGCAGCACAAGAGGGTATGACAGCAGTCCTCCTCATCCCCAGGGAGCTTAAATTATTCCTGGAGCATGTACCAGTTGGCACGGTTAAAATTTAGGTGTCTTCTCTCCTTTTAGCATAGAGGTGTGTTAGAGACAAAGACCTCTTCCCAAAAAATCTGAGCTGTTCTTCCTCTGTGGTAGAAGTTCAGTATAGAGTGATGAGCCCTGTGGTGTTGAAGAGGCTGGTGCTAACTGAGATAAGCCAGTGAGTCAGCAAGTATTGCTACAGAACTAACCCTCCCCTTTCCCAGTTTCCGTTTCCATCCTATAACTGCGGTGCCCCTGGCACGGTCTGCCCATTAACCTCATGTTAACCCTGTAACACACAGAGCAGAGCTGAAGAGCTGCCTGCTGCCTACTGCTCCTGTGGCAAAAGCTTGGTTTAACTGCAACTGTGTCCCAGAAGGCAGTATTTGTGAGAGGTGTCTGATGCTGTAGCTAAATTTGCCGAGAGCAGTAGGAACTACAATGCGAGAGAGCCGTAACCGCAGACAGATACCTCAGATCAATCCTCCTTCCTGCAGCTGTGTCTGTAAAACCCTTTGAGTGTGTTCCTCAGCTGACCCGAAGTGATTTTTGCCCTTCAGATCAAGGGGACAGGCATCCAAACCGCAAAGCCAGAGGACAGCTGCGGACGAAGATCGAATCTGGGGAAGGGACCATCCCCGTGCGCTCCACGACCACTATCCAGACGTGGGACGGTGTGCTGCAAGGAGAGAGGCTGCTGACCATGTCCTGCAGTGACAAGATAGCCAGGTGAGACACTCAACAATTGGTTTCTTTGCTGTTCGTTTTTGTTGCTGAAGAAGGGCATGTGACAAGGGGGAACGGCCTTAAGCTGAAGCGGGGCAGGGTTAGGTGGGATATTGGGAAGAAATTCTTCCCTGTGAGGGTGGGGAGCCCTGGCACAGGTTGCCCAGAGAAGCTGTGGCTGCCCCTGGATCCCTGGAAGTGTCCAAGGCCAGGCTGGACAGGGCTTGGAGCAACCTGGAATAGTGTATGAGATTGCAACAATGTGGTCTTGAAGGTCCCTTCCAACCCAAACCATTCTGGGATTGTAACAAGACAGAGGGGGGGTTTATGGTACCCACATTATCTCATTGGACACAGCGTGAGGGTGGCTGTAATTCCTGTGATAAATCTCCCAATTCTTCACCTGTGAGTGGTGTCAGACCCTCTGCTGGCTTCACAGGCAAGGTGAAATCAGTCTGTGTTATTCCAGCCACGTGAAGTCACGGCAGCTTTGTTTTGTGTTTACATCACTGGGGCAGCGCAGAGGAATGGTTTAGTTGGGTTTTTTCCCCTGAAGTAGCATAGCATTATCAAAAACAGTACAATAAATTTATTGCATTATTTAGATTGCTTCCTCCTATGATACACACCCTTGCCCCATCCCTGGAAATGTTCAGAGTCAGGTTGGAGGAGGTGTGGAGCAACCTGGTCTAGTGGAAGATATCTCTGCCCATGGCAGGGGGTTGGAATGAGATGGTCTTGAAGGTCCCTTCCAGCCCAAACCGTTCTGGGATATCAAAGATGCCTACATTTTCCGTGCATAGATTAGATTTTTATTATTTTGTACAGTGAAAAGTTATCCCTATTTAAAAAATATTAATTGATAGGCACTTCTGGTTTTTAACTTTAAAAATGATTTTAATTTTAGTTTAAATAGTTTTATTTATTGTGATTAAATATTTTGTTTCCAGAACCAGTACTTTAATTTATATTTCATCCAGTTCCTTCTTTGTTGTCCTTTTTGACAACGATTGAGAGATTTTATGTCATTATTTTCAAATTCAGAAATGGACAAAAGAAAATTTAGCAGTAGTATCCTTTAACAAGTAGGGGAGAGTTGCAGCATAATTTTTTTAAATGAGTCTGTGTGTTTGCAGCCTCTGGGCTCTTGCAAAATGCATGAAAAATGCCAAATTTTTCAGGTAATGACAATTTAGTTATTTTTCAATGTTATATATATATTATATATACTTTAATTAAAATAGCTCTGCTGTTTTCTGAAGTCACAGCCTGATTCAAAATTTATGAAGGGTATTAAGTTGGAAATATTCTTGTGCACTGCCTATGCCAAATCAAAAATAGAGGGAGGAAAGTTATGTAATGTCTTTGTTCCTTTAGTCTTGTCTCAAGTAATCAGCATCTCTGCTGAAGGAAAACATTTTCTTTTAATTTAAATCTCCCTAATGTAAATGGATAGGGCCTTTCAGAAGCCAGGACAGGCAGATGTGAAAAGGTAACTCTGCAAAACTGACATTTCAGCTCCTTTTATAATATTTGCAATAAAATTCACCAAATAAACTCCCCAGTTTCACGCCTGGGACTTCTCCCAAACGTCTAACATGGGATTCATGTCACGTTCTCTTAACACATTGTCATTGCAAATATATATATATATATTTAAAAAAAAAATAAATAAAAATGCAGCCAGTTGTTGAGCTAGAACACATTTGACTCTTTTGTTGATTTTGTGTGATGCAGACCAGAATCCATCTCTCGCTCCCGTAGCTAGCTGTCACCTCTCCTTGGGGCTAATGGGAATAATTTTGTTTGTGCCAGTGAAGGAAGCAAATAGAACCCCTTGACACAGAACAAAGACTGTATGACGGGTAAGGAGGCCCAAATTTTCATATTCTTTTTTTCCTTTCTTTTTTTTTTTTTTTTTTGACATTTCCCTGACCGTGTTTTGTCCATTTACATTTGAAAGAATGCCTTGCTCTGTAGCTTCCAGCCATCAGCCCTCCAGGATACCTCAGACCTGCTGATTTCCACTGAGCTTTCCCAAAGGTTCTCAGTCCCAGCCTGGAAAAGGGGTGGATAAATTCAGGGTGCAGGGGTGCACTTGTACCAAGCCCCTTGTATCTTGAACTGCCTCATCTGTGGGGATTATTTGTGTAATAATCCAAGTTTCTGCCTCTGAGTGTGCTGCCTCTGTGCTGCCCAGCACCCTCCTGGAGCCAGTAGGAACATCCAGGAAAAGTTGTGAGGAACGTGGAAGGGCCAAGAGTGTAATCCCATTTGGGTTGGAAGCATTAAAACAGGATTACCCTGGTGTGTTAGTGCTTGGTGTTTCTCCAGCACGGTGGTTTCTGTGACCAGAGTAACTTTTGGGTTTGTTTTAAATGTATCCTGACCTTGTTCCACGGCACTGATGCTGGGATTTGCCATTCTCCTTTTGATATATGTTTTTTTCTGCCCGTATTTTTGGTTTCAAACAATGACTTGGCTTCTCATGAAAACATCCCTGTTGTGGCTAACATCCTACTGAGAACAGCAAAATTTCTTTTCTTTTCACCCAGTTTCTCTGCTAGGAGGGAATTGAGAAGAACTTTTTAGGTGTGAGTTGTTAAAAGGGTGCTCTTCTGCTTTAGAGAAGAGAAAATACATTTCTGATGGTCTTTAGGCCTGTCCACTGGCCTCGTTTTGTGCTGATTCAGAGTGGGAAATCCAAAAGGAAGCTTGTAACTCAGTCTTTCTCTGTTTTTCCCCACAAGAGAGAGCAGTTCTCACCAGCTCTTAGCCCGAGTGACACTGACCCATGTGAATTCAGTGCCCACTTTGATCCGTGGTTGGCTGTGTGGCACTTGTGTAAAATATCTGAGGGAAGGTGGCAAGAAACAACTACCTAGCTTAGGTACAGCTACAAGGGGAAACACTTCTTCTTTTCTGTAGTTACACGTCTAGAAATATGCTTGTGAGAAGACCATGGACTTCTTGCACTTACTGATCTGTAGTGTGGGCTGCTGACCCAGTCCTAAAGATACTGCTGCCTGTTTACAGGGTGGCTTGTGAAGAGCATGGGATGGTCATAGAGATTCAATTCATCTCTTAAGGAAAAAAAGGAGAAGTAGGGTTTAAAGTGATGCCTCATGCATGTCAGGAGGCCAAGTGCTTTCTGGGCTAGTCCAGCACCTCACACAGTGATAACTTCTCTGCCTTGCCCTCAGTTGCAAGTAAAAGCTTGTGATAAACAAAATGCCTACTAAATACTTTTCATTTCTTCGTAGTGGTTATGTATAAATAATGTTGACAAGAGCAGCTCTTTGGACTGTGAACACTTGTCAGGTTTTGCTTGGTTGGTCGCAGGAGGCTCTTGTTTTGCTGAGGTAAATTCTGGCACCAGTTCCATGTGGACACTGTTGTGGGTCACTCACAGTGACTCACCCCCTCCATGCTGCTGTCTGCAGAAAAATTAGTGACAGTGATACTAAGATGTTTGATATTAACATCAAGATTTGTGACTTACTGCTGTTAGCCTCCCCCAAAAAAAAAGTTCAGAGGAGAGTTTTTAGCTGAAGCGTTATATTTTCAGCCCTTTGGCAAGAGGTGAACCAGCACGCTGTGAAAGTGTTGCTGCAGAGTTAACTTTTATTTACCTTTTGGGGTATCAGGAGTTGTGAAATCAGCTGCATGTCATGAAGAAATCAATAGGCCTTTTAGAAATCCACTGCAGATACCTCTGAGCACACGGTGGTCCACAGCAAAAATGTGACAACATAGCAAGAAAGGACTCTTCTTGGCTTGGTGTCAGTCTCTGGTTTCTCTACTCTTTTTTTTTAGTGTAGTGTGATTGAGAACAGCAGAAAGACTGAGGAAGTGCATCCAGTGCATCCATCCATCCATCCATCCTCCAGGCTGTTATCAGCAGGATCTAGAGTAGTGAGTGAAGAATAAGAAAACCAGTGAGTGTGATAAATGTGTAAGACTCAGATTTCCCAGTGAGGTGCTCATCTGTAAGACCTCAGGTGAGCACGCTACAGAGTAGAGAGTATCCTCTGTGTAAATTGTCAGGAGTTGAACACAACTCATGTGCATAAACCTGCAAAAGCCAAGGTTGGGGCTGAGCCTGTAGAAGTGGTGGGGTGTGGTGGTTTGAAAGAGCATTTCCCTGGACACTTTGAGGATGAGGTAGAGGACATGGCAAAACCTTAATAATGGGAAAACATGTTTTTTTGGTCTCCCTGTAGCTAAACATGCACAGGGAACTGGGAACTGTAGAGCAAAGGGGAGGTGCAGGGCACCCCAAGCTGTGCTCCCCTGGTGATATCTTAGCAGCATTGCTGAACTGAAGCAGATCTTACTTTGCACCTGTAACTTTTCAGATGGCTGAATTTTTTCATGCTGAATGAAAATGTTCAATGAAAACCACGGTTTTTATTTAAGAAAAAGACTTTAAAAAAAAAAGCTGGTGTAACTTGGATGAAAATCTCCTAACGTTCCTCCTGTGCATGGCATCTCCCTGCCTCGGCAGTCCTGGTCCTGCAGTTGTTTGTGGAGCTGTGCTGTCAACTAGGCTGAGAAAAACTGCCTCTTCAGAATCCATTTTATTGATTTTTAACAATAAAAATAAAATAACAGGCTGGGGAGGATCGAGGTGGTGATAGGCAAACTCTTCTGTGGCCAAGCTTAGCGCTGGGAAAATGACAGGCTGTAAAAAAGTACTTTATAGCAGCAGCAACACCCTTTGACTGTCATCCTCCTTCTGTTTTTTAATTGTTTGGCAGCAGCAGCTCACACGTGCAGGGATGGGAACACTGAACCTCCCAGTCCAGGTGCTGGCAGGGGCCACTGTGGTGTGTTGGTTGATCCCAGGATAAAGAGCCGTGGGTTTGATTTGCAGCTTTTGTTCCCTTTTTCATGTTGAAGTACTTTGCTAGGTGAGCTTTAGGAATTTTGTTGCCTTCTCAGACATGGGAGGGCTTAAATGTCACTCACCTCAGGGAGCCCCTGGTGGAGCGTGAACCTGAAGGTGAGTCTGAACCTGAAGGATCTTCTATCTCTGAAAAGGCCAGTTCAGGATGAGTAAATAGACACACCTTCACGTCAGGTTGCTGTGCATCACGTGCAGAGCTGCAAACTCGAAGCTGAAAGAGTATTGCAGGTTGCCAAACACATGGTGTCACGGGCAGAAAGGAAGCTTCACACAAGGCTTAGCAGGGAGACCCCCCCTGCTGAGTCACGAGGTGCAGAATAAATGATTTATTTAAATTGATTATGGTAACAATCAGATAATAATTACAGATTATAATAATTACAGATAAATCAGATAAATAATTACAATTATTTACTACACTTCACAGGTAGCGGTAACTACTTTTATAGTGCAGTATTTGTTGAAGCAATTATATTAAAGTGAGCAAAACCAGTTAGTAAGTAGAGATCGATGTTACCCATGTTCCCTAGTGCATTTTGCTTTTTTCTGCTCTGCACCGCCTGGCGTGTGGTGAAACACAGAATTTGGCCCCTTAATTTCTAAAGAGCTTTGTGCTTCCAGTAGAGGTTAGTACTGGACCAGCAGCAATCTCACAGTCCCTGCTTCTACCCTGGAGGATGAGGCGGTTTTACCATCTCAGGAGGCAATCCCTGTGGTGTAGTTTCTTCTCAGTTTACATCCACGAAGGTTGTTCCAGTGTATGTGCTAATGGAAGTCAGATATTGCTGATTGACATAAAGAAGTACAGTATAAAAGAGGAACATGGAGAAAGTCTCTGTGCAGTCCTTCCTTCTTTCACTCTGCTGCAATCTGCAGAACATGAGGGCCAAGTCCTGTGAGGAGCAGCTGGGGGGGCTCAGCCTGGAGAACAGGAGGCTCAGGGGGGACCTTCTGGCTCTCTGCAACTCCCTGACAGGAGGGAGGGGCCAGGGGAGGGTTGGTCTCTTCTGCCAGGTGACAAGTGACAGGACCAGAGGAAATGGCCTCAAGTTGGGCCAGGGGAAGGTTGGATTTGGGGAGAGGTGTTTCACCAAAAGGGTGGTCAGGCACTGGAACGGGCTGCCCAGGGAAGTGGTGGAGTCAACATCCCTGCAAGTGTCCAAATGGCAGGTGATGTGGCAGCTGGGGACGTGGTTCAGTGCTGAACACGGTCGTACTGGGTTAGCAGATGGACCCAGTGATCTTAGGGGGCTTTTCCAACCTCAGTGATTCTGTGATTTGTTTGTCAGGTTTTATCTCTGTGCTACAACCAGCTTCTGATACAAGAACACATTTGTGTAGACAAGGATATGTATTTTTGTTGTAACTATGGAAATTTAAAGCTGGTTTTACAAACCTAACCACCATCCAACCTCGCCTCATCAATATTAAGAGCTCGAGGCTTTGGTTTCTTCAAACCCTGCCCTTGCATCGAGCCAGTTGCTCTGAGCCCAGCACTCATGGGCAAGTGCTGCAACAAAACATCAGGCCTGTGGGTGGTAACGCCAGTCCACACAGTTCACCTTGCAGAAGCTTGTTCAGGTGTCCACGCTCCTTTTAATCAGATAAAGTTTGCAAGACAAGGGGTCTGCTTTCATTTTCTGTGCCAGAGGGCGTCACCAAGTGTGGGAGGAAGCGGCAAAACACGAGCTCTGGAAATACTGAAATCAGAAGTAAGGAAGAGGGTCTGGCAAAGGTTTTATTTCAGGGAGTGAGGGCTTGCCAGAGTTGTGCTTTGGCCTTTCTTGAGATATTTATCTGTCACTCAAACACTGGCCACGTAATGTAAAATGTGATGTGCCTTGTCTGCAAGTCCCAGATACATTTGTAAGACCCCAGTTTGAAAAAATCTCAGTCTTGAATTCTTTCCAGATGTTTCTTCCACAGTGTCTGTAGCAGTCCATGTTCTCCATGTAGGTAATACTGCAAATAGCAAGAAAATATTGTTGTGATTCATTTGGCACTTGAAATATCTCTGTGCTACAAACTTCTAGTCGTGTCGTGGTAGGGTCCTTAAAAAGACATATTGGTCCTGGAAAGCAATAGTTTTCATTTGATATCTTTACTCTGGCATTTGGTTGCTGATTGCATTTTCAGTGTTGTACAAAGTATTTCTTTATTCCAAGTAAAACAGACCTCATTTTTTGTTAGCACAGAATTTTTATTCATTCATTAGTGCCAGCTCTTTTAATGACAGGTGAGTAAGTTAATGCACAGTGCCTCCATTTTTACCCTCTGTAAACACATGCAGAGAAAATTGTTTCCTCGGATAGCAGTCTTTGTTTTGCACATCCTGAAGCCAGCATGTGCAGTTGAATTTTTGCAGCAGTGAAGCAGCCTGGTGTGCAGTTTCCTGCCTGAGGTGATGCTGATGTGCAGCCGTCCCAGCACAAGCTGCAAGAATCACTGTTAGCACCATCCAGATTCCCTGTTTTCCTAGGGTAACCTTGCAGATGGGATTTTTAATAAGGACAGCCATTCTGTGGGAGCCCAAGAGCTTCCATTGTGCTCCTCTGTTTTATCCAAGCACAAAAGGAAACTTTTCCTCCTGCTTGTGTCTGGTGTTGCAGGTGAGCTCCAAGAGCAGGCTGGATGAGAAACCTGCTCTGATGGGAGGTGTCCCTGACCACGGCAGGGGTTTGGAGTGAGATGGTCTTTAAGGTCCCTTCCAGCCCAAATTCATTCTGTGGTTCTGTGATTCTGACTGAAATGTGCTATTTTCATGGTGCCACGCTTTTTGCAAGTATTCCTCGGTCAAATACAGTGAAAATACTCTGCAGGAGATGTTGAGGTTTTCAAAAGTACTCTATGGAACTGTTGCAGACAGATTGAGAGCCAAAGCTGTCAAAAAAACCCCAACAAATCAGGATTTTGCTCCTAGGCATGCTATATCCCTGCCACCAGACCTGATCCAGTGTAGATCACAGTGGTCCAGATCCAGACAGGCATTTATGGTTGGAATCTGTGAAGCAGCTAAAGGGAGCAAAAAAGTGTGTGCATTCTTGGCATATTTGCAGTTTTCAGATTCAGTCTTTTCCCTGCCTGTGGATATTGCAAGCCAGTGCACGTGTCCCTTCTGGCAGCAGGATGTGGAAACACTTGGGCTAGGGTGTCAAGGGCAGGTTTTCCCTTAGGGTGATGAGGTGTGGAGGTCTTGCAAACACAATCCTTTTGGTCTGGGGAAGGATGCTTAACCCCCTGCCAGGTGTCTTTTGGGGGCGAGAGCTGCTGTTTCTGACTGAGAATCTCACAGTTTGGCTTTGCCCCACTGAGTGATCCTGTCCATCTCTGGCACTAGGCTGCTGGAAAATGCACGTGAGAGGGGAACTGAAGTTGTGGAGTCTGCTCCTGACCTGTTGCTGTAGGTCATCTTACTCAGGATTACACTGAGCATCCCCTAAGCTGATCTCCGAAATTCTGGCAGGTGTCACAGCTTATGCTACCATGGTCATGTGCCAGTCAGGAGAAAGGGTTGAAAGTCTAGTCCATTGTGATTAACTGCTGTTATGTCTGGCAGATGTTACTTGTTCCATTAAAAAGAAAGTGTTTTTTTGTTTTGTTTTGTTTTGTTTTTCCCTCCCTCTTAGGTGGAACGTATTGGGTATTCAAGGAGCCTTACTTAGCCTCTTTGTGGAGCCAATTTACTTCTCTAGCATCATCTTGGGGAGTTTATATCATGGGGATCATCTATCCAGAGCCGTTTACCAGAGGATAGCAGAGATAGAAGATCTACCACCTCTTTATACACTCAACAGACCTTTACTTAGTGGCAAGTATCTAATGGAGAAGGCCGTGCCGGTAACTAAGTCTGTTCCAGTAGCCTTGTGATTTTGCAGTTCTCAAAACCTTGCAAAAACTGTGTGCTGTGGGTAAAACTGCTTGCTGGTTACAACAGAGTGGTCTAAACATCATACAGAGGGTCAGAAATACCCATAGCAGGGACCTTTTCAGAGTTGGGAAGAGCTGGGGGATGAATGTTTCGATGAGGCTTCGCATCATTGCTGTCCTGGAGCGGGCCCTGCCAAGGTGTGGGGTGAGCTGAAGGCTTAATTAGAAGCCTCTTCCCACCCATGGAATAACCTGTTAGCTCTCACTGTCACTTCTCTTGCATGGCAGATGTTTGTGGAATGGTTCCATCGTTAATTAGACACAATTTCTAGATCCATAATCAATCAAAATGGGTGGGGGGTAACATCTCACCTTGTCTTAAACTCCAAAATGGCTTGTTAACAGCAATGCTGTGAGAGCTTTAAGGCTGAAATCTCACCCTCCCTCTCGCTGTGTGCGTTGCTGTTGTGGCTCAGCCCCAGCCAGCAGCCAAGCCCCTCACAGCCACTCCCTCCCCCACCAGCAGCACCAGGGGGAGGACTGGAAGGCTAAAAACCAGAAAACTCGTGGCTTGAGATAAGGACAGTTTAATAGGCAAAGTAAAAGCCGTGTACACAAGTAAAGAAAAACAAGGAATTCATTCACTGCTTCCCATGGGCAGGCGGTGTTCAGCCACCTCCAGGAGAGCAGGGTCCCCATCCCACCCCACCCCACGGTGGCTTGGGAAGGCAAACACCATCATTCCACCCCAGCTGAAACCAGCACAACTGCTTTTGTAGAGCTTAGCTTTTGGCATGTGTGTGTTTCCCAAGGAGAGTAAGAAAAGCTCGTGATTTTAAAGCATGTTTAAAGTTTTCCGTGGGTTTTTAAAATAGATGTAGGGAGGGAGCGGGGAAAAGAGCATTTTGATAAGAAAGGTAATTAATAAGGATTCACTGAACTAGAATGTGTAAAAATGTTAAGTGACTTATTTGTCCTTATATTAGCAAATAAGTAACAGTTACAACACTCAGTACCAAATATCTGATAGTTGGATGGGCACAGTGGATGATGTATGGACTGTTTCTGCCTGACTGGGGGGAATTTTTATCAGTCCTTCAAGGTGGCAGGTTTGGAGCAGAGCGGGATGAGTTTTTGGTTTCCTTTTCACAACGTATAACAGTACCTTGTCTTCTTTAAAATCATATTTCTACAGTGGTGATATCATCTATTTGCTGTGAAATAGCACCATCTGTTTAAACAGTTCAGCCAGGACTCGCTGAGCAGCAGAGAGAGTTCAGAAGTGTTCTCAGCTGTGGAGTTTTCACAAAAATACACACCTCAAAAACATTCAGAAAGCTTCTTTAGGAGGTTGGGTGGAGAACTGTGTTGGTGTATTTTCTTCTACTAGCCCAGTCTTGAAAACTCATCTTCTGACCTGTGCTGTTAGGTACAGCTGGGGCATTTGTGTAGCTGCCCATCTGCTCTTGGATTCACATATTTTTTTAGTGTATTCTTACCTGGAATAAACACTGCAGAAATACCTGTCCCCAGTTCCTTCTTGCACCACACACAGAGCTGTGTGAGTTATTTCTACCAGAGGGATGAGTTAAAACAGAAATATCTGTCTTTCCCCACTGTGGTAATCTGCAGCTCAGGGGCATCCCGAGTCAGGTATTGAGAATATAGAATATAGAAATCCTTAACAAACCTTTTATTTGTCAGCCCCTGGTTCTGTTTTTTTTAACTGGTTTTAACTTTTTGCCATCTGCAGCCTCCTTGAGTAAGGAGGGGCTGTGGAACATGCAAAGAGTTGTGCAAAGGAACTTTCTGTTAATTTATTTCAATGTTCTCAGTGCTCTGTGTGATCCAGGCTATAAGCAGTGGTCACAACACTCAGCTTTCTCTACCTCTGAGATATTCCTTCCTACTCAAGTCTTGTTTTCTGCAAGCTGAAGTTGTTGTTCCTTGCACAGAGAGCCTTTCATGTAAGGATGACCCCTTTCATTTTACAGTTCCATGTTTGTGCTGGTGACACCAGGGCAGCACCTGATAACTCCAGGTAAAGCAGCAGTACTGATTTCTGTGGTGGCAGATGTTCTGGGCAGATCCTTGATCCTTTACTAACCATTCCTGACGTTCACTTTGATTACTGCTGGTCCTTGACCTGACCTTTTGGTAGAACTGAATATTAGAAGCTAAAAATTTCATTCCTGAGTGCTCATATCTAGCTCCAAGTTCAGCACTCCTCGTCCAACACTGCTTTGGGGTTTTATATCATATGTATTGCCTAATATTTGTCTGTGAGCAATTCCACCTGCCTTTATATTGGGTGCCCAGACACCCAGTGTGTGAGCTTTTTTCCTGCTACTCTTTGCAATTCCTTCTCTTACTGACTTTTTGAAATAATTAAATATCATCACCCAATCTTAATCCCCTGGGCTTTTACCCCTGCACACTCTCCAGGTTCAGTACAGAAGTGTTGGCTCTTCAAAAGGAGACCATCTTTATCCAGGTGTTGGTGAATTCTGGTTTTAATAGACAAAAATAAATCCTTCAGCAGGGAACCTCTGGGGATTTTTTTGGCTGTTCCCATGGTACCTTGTCCTCCTGTTCCCACGGGTGTTTTTCAGCTCTCTGTCTCCTTTTTAATGAAGCTTTTTTTAGCTCTGTCCTCAAAAAACTGTCAAGATTTGTTATTTATATAATCCCTGGCACAAAGAGCCGTGACCTTTGCTTTTGCTTATTATATCCCTTTATAATAACATTCAACAATGAGTTCTGAGCAATGTTCTCTAAATAGCTTATTATATCAGTTTTCAGAGGATAGTAAAATATCTGACTTTCTACCCTAGTGTTCTTTCCCATTTCTAGTTTGAGCTTATTGTGCTATATTCATGTCTAGATTTTGAGAGGTAAGATGTGATCCACCTAAAGTTTTATCAGACACTTTGATTTTGAGTTGACCTTTATTCTCTGTCTATGCTACCCATGACCCACCCTCAGAGACTCCTTTGCCATCTCTCCAGGGTTACCACATACAATTAAGTAGCTGAACAGGCTGTTGTTATTTAAATCTATTTGAAATTCTAAATCTGGGTCGTTTTTTCTTTTTTTTTTAATTTAACTAATTCATCAAAGTAACCCAAGGAATGGAATTGTATAATTGCAATGGAAATGTAGGGCACACTGGATATTCAGCTTCCTCATCTTTGTTTGTGAGACTGGGTATGATGTCACAAGTGTTTTGTAGTACTCAGTGACCTCTATCTGATCCTTGTACTTGTTTAATGGTGTATGGAATGAAAGCAAAGCTAATATTATAGATATAATTAGATTAAAGGAAAAAGTAAGACAAAAAATTGTAAAGTGGCAGCAATTTCTTAGCCCTCATGCCTCAGTAGTTTTGGTAAAACCAACTTTTGCTCCAATTCTCAAGTTTTTCAGCTTATACTTTTTAAAAAAAAATGAGGGATGGGAGGGTTGTTTTCTATCATTATTCACTTAATTACTAATTACCAGTCATAGTGACAAGATTGATGTAAACCAAGCGTAAATATACAACATTTCAGTGATTGATATTTCACAGTGTTTGCTTGTTTATTAAATGAGGAATTGACAGCAGGAAGCAAACTGAATTTCACTGTGTCACTGAGACCTCGTGGGTCTTGCACACTCTCAGTGCTGGGCCCAGAGGTGCCGTGAGACTGAGCCAGTCCTGCTCCCAGGTGCCTGGCTTTGTCAGATTGCTTCAGGTACCAACCAGAAATGCATCCTGCTGTGTCCCTTATGTTCAATTTCCACAAATCCTCCAGACTTTACTAAGCACAGGGCCTGGCATAACCTCGGAGCAGACTGGAAAGAGGTTGTTGGTGAGAGCTGCGGTAAAGTAAAAATGGGATTTTTATTTACTAGAAAGAACAAATTGCCCCTGGTGCTTTGCTCTCTTCTGGTGAGGTGGCTGAGACATCTTAAACAGAGAGTTTTGCCACCCCTGTGGTGCCTGAGGAATCCCACATGCACGGCAGCAGCTGCTGTGACCTTCAAGCGTGGTGCTGCGGCACTGGGGTGCTGTGGGGAATAAATCCTGCCCTGGGCAGGCGGACTGGCATTGTTTTGTGCTTGGGTTAGATTGCTGGTGGCTTTGCTTCTCCATCTGTAGAGGTGGAGCCATATTTGAGAGGTGTCACATAATTTATCACCTGAGCAAAGTGCTCTGAGTCCTCTCTGGAGTCCTGTAGTTCCCCATCTCAGGGCATGGTGTGCAAAGTGGGGAAGCAGCTGAAACACAAATGGATTTGTGCTGGGAAACTCATGAATGTCTTCCAGTTCTGGCTTTGTGTGAAGGGTGCTGAGGATGGGGCTCACCTTCATGGAATCACAGAATGGTTTGTGTTGGAAGGGTTCTGAGTTCCGAGCCCCTGCCATGGGCAGGGACACCTTCCACTAGCCCAGGTTGCTCCAAGCCCCGTCCAAGCTGGCCTTGGACACTTCCAGGGTTCATATTTTCACATCCAGTTTGAAGTGAGATAGGCAACATGCACCTAAATTCTTACATCAGAGTGAAAGGGAACTGACTGAAGAGTTGCAGCTACCAAACTCTCACAGTGTTTGCTCTTTGCTCCACTCAGCTACTGAGTGGGCTCTGAGAGCAGCAGTTTCTTGAGCTGGAGCAGAGCAGCTTTTGTTCTGCTTCGTAACTATTTGCTGGTTAATAATGAATTTGTTTCACCTGCAAGACCTCCTCGTGAGAGGAGGATGTGGCAAGGCACATCCTGTTACTGTCCCCATGAACCCTTGCCACAGAGCTCTCCATGATGGCTTCTCCAGCAATGCACACTCGCCCTGCTGGGAAGGACAGTAGAGAGCCCTTTAGCCAGGATGAGAATGAGATGTCCATGGTGTCACCTGCACAAGTCGGTGAGAAATCTGCAGGAGAATGCCCTCAAAGCAAAAGAGCAGGCTTACAAGCGGATTGCTCCCCAACCAAAAGAAAAATAATAGTGAAGAGTTTGTACGCGTTACTGTCCTTAAACACAAATGTCCTTAAACCACTTTCCTTTCAGGTATCAGCAACGCAGAGGCCCGTCAGCCAGGCAAAGCCCCAAACTTCAGTGTGAACTGGACAGTAGGAGACACCGGCCTGGAGGTCATTAACGCCACCACCGGCAAGGACGAGATGGGCCGCGCGTCCCGCCTGTGCAAGCACGCCTTCTACAGCCGCTGGATGCGCATCCACGCCAAGGTACGGCCCCCACAGCGCCACAGCTCCCACCCCACCGCTCCGGGAAACACCTCTGCCTGCTCTCTGTGCTCTGGTTTAAGCTGAGTGTTAGAATCACAGCGTCATTAAGGTTGGAAAAGATCCTCGAGGTCATCAAGCACCTCCACCATGTTCACCATTAAACCGCCTCCTCTAGTACCACATCCACCCTTTTTTTTTTAAACACTTCCAGGGATGGTGACCCCACCACCGCTTTACAACCCTTTCCATAATTTTTTTTTTTTTTTATCTAATACATAATCTAAACCTTCCCTGGTGCAGCTTTAGGCCAGTTAGCTACTGCCCTGTGCAGTAATGTAAAAGAATATGTGTTTGTTAACTTACTCTTTAATGTGGTGATGTCTGGTCCAAAATGCGTACTCCTTGGTTTATAACTGACTCAGGATGCTGTCTCCTTTGAACTTGCCTTCTCACTTGAATTTATTTGGAAGGATAATCCCATTTTCACTGCCGAGGTTTTGCTTTCTCCTCTCAGACAGAAAAGCCACCGGAAAACCCGTCCGTGGCTTCTTGGCCTCAACCATTTTGTTTGGTAGATTCCTTACCGTTGTTTTAATATGAGTTGTTTGAATAACTCAGTCACTCTCAAACTGTTGTCTTGTCTCTCCTCTCCTCTTGTCTGTAACCCCCACAGCTTTCCTCCAGCCTGCGCTCCAAGATCCTCAAGCCCAACCTGTACCACGATACCAAGCAAGGAGCCACCGAGTATCAAACTGCCAAAGAGTGTTTGTTCAAAGCATTCCTGAAGGCAGGACTTGGAGCCTGGGTGGAGAAGCCCATAGAACAGGATCAGTTTTCTCTCACGGTCTAATTCACAAACTGCACATCACTTTGGAAAGGGAGTTGCTCTGGAAATTCCTGGTGTCCAGCACTGCTTTCTGGCATCTCCACAGCCATTAAAACATCTTCTTTGCTGTTTGGAGTTGGGTTTCTTTGAGGTTTTTTCGAAACTTCACACAGTAACTGTTTCTGTTTCGCCTGAGTGTTGAAACTCAATGATGATCTGACACATAATTGTATATTTTGTTATAGGAAAGTAATTTCTGGTGTATTTCTAGAAATACTTTTGCTGTAGAAAACTTGCAGTAAGGCTGTCCTTACTGTATACAATGACTCATTTTTTCTGGGTTAAAATAATTTCTTTTTTTAATTCAATGTCATCAAGTGCATGAAGAAATTAGAAGTTTCTCTAGGTTTTACACCACACTTTTAGGAAGTAGCTTAATTTTTTAAAAATAGGTGACAAAGCTGATTCTACTGCTCTGTTAACTTGTTTTTGAACTGCAGATGTTTTTAGCACATAGACCACAGAGCCAGAATGGAGTCTGGACAGCTAGTTTTTTCCCCAATTCCTTGCTCTTTAAAACCAGCTGCTGAAAATTTCATGTCTTTGATGTATGTATTTATTAGTCTGTGACCCAGTTTTTAACATGCAGCTTTTTATTCTGTTTTTAAAAATACATTTACCTCCCATTTACACCCATTGTGAAGTCTTCTTTTTTTTTTTTTTTACCATTGTAAACTGGAAACAGCAAAACCAATTATTTGTAAGTTGAGAAGTTTAGTCTATGACGTGCAGAAGCCTGTTTAGAAGTAGGTGACTTGTTATATCCCAGGAACTCGTCAGAATACAACCTTAAACTGTAACAGCGATGTGACAGCTTGAAAAAGAATTTGATCACTTCGAGGGCGCTAAGCCTGAATTGCCAAAACCACTCCCCTGTTTGGGTCTTAATGAGAAGCTTTTTTAGTGGATAAAGCAGCTGTTGAAACTCATTTCCTGGGAGTTATATCACCCAAGTTGTTGTGTCTCTGAGGTTCCGCTGCCTTCTGGCTTTACACGTGTGATGGGCTTCGTGAAGCTTACTGGGTGCATTCATTTGTTTCGACTTTTAATACTTTAAAAGGTGTCATTCCCAAAGGTGTAGGCACTTCTGCTTTATGTAAGACTGTGAGATAGGAGCGAAATATTGCGAGGTGCGTTCGAGGAACTGCTCTAGAGAAGGGGTTTTTAAAACCGCTTTTTGGTTCGTGACGTCAGTAGCAGAGGAGTCAGTGGCGTGGGAGCTCTCCTGACCAAACCAAACCTGACCCAACCAGCTCTGGGCTCCTGTCCTCTGCTCCACTGCCCCAGCCTGTGCCACACACGCAGGAGGTCACACCAGCAGGCTGGTCCGTGCTCTGAGCTCAGGCAGGGGTTGCTCATAGACCCACATTGGGTCGGAGGTGCAGCTGGAGCTGTGCCGGTGCCTCTGCGGGGCGGTGGAGCCGAGCAGGGATCGGTTCAGCTGCGTGGCCGAGGCCTGTGTGTTGTGGGGCTGGGACTGGAGCCAGGGTACCCCAGCCCCAGCACCTCTGGGTGTTGGAGACTTTGGTTTAAAACCACTTCGGGACAATCATGAATGCCAAGACGTTGCTGCTCAAGTAGGAACCTGTTTTCTGCTTCAAGAAGTGACCAAACGTGAAAATCACTCGTGCATTAGTCGAAGCCCCTGGGTTAATGTCTTGGAGGTAAGGCACTGAGGTGCAAACAGTGTGCTTGGGTGGTACTGTGGGTAGTGGCAAGCACTGCTCTGGGAGGGCAAGCGAGTCTGTGACCTAGGGATCCCCTCAGAAAAGCCTGGTGCTTCCAGAGGTTACTGCCTTTTCCACGTGCCAGGGGAGCAGGCTGCGGTAGATGGGCTGTGTTAATTCACCCTCATGGGTGGTTTCAGCCACCCTGTCTGCTCCTCGTTAAAACTAAAAGCACTCCCATGGCTGTGCAAGCCCAGCAAGGCTCTTGCAGTCATCATCCAGCTGAGGTGTGCACTGACCTGTTCCAGAAGGAATTTTAGCACCGGGGCATTGGCCTTGTCGTGTTCACGTTGCAGGGGTTCTCTTTGGGGGCTGTGGCTGAGTGTGGGAATGTTTCTGCAGGGGGGAGGACAAGCTGGTCATGCCTTGTGTGTTTTCTGGAGGTCGTTACTGCTCTTGGGTGAAATACCTGTTTTTAAGGGGCTCATTCAAAAGTTGGTGTCTCTCTGAAATTTTTTTTTGAGGACTAGAAAAGTAGTAACTTGAACTATTTTTTTTTTTTTTTTAATGAAGTCAAAAATATGAGCAAAATGTTTGTGTTATTGTAGACACAGTTTTTTAAGCTGTTCGAATGAACAATCAGAATTAAAGTGTAAAGGAGATGGGTTCTATGCCAAAATCCTTTGACAAAGGAGTGGTGTCAGGTTGTTTATGAGGAATGAGTTGTCCTGTTTATAATTCTGGGATTTTAAAAAGAGGTTTTCCAGGGTTGTGTGCAATCCATGTCTGTCTTCTGGGAGTCAATAAAACACTGCTTGGCTTCCTTCAATGCCTTGTTGCTTTCTGTGCAGTTGACACATGGCAGGAAGTTGGGAGGGTTCCCTGCAAATCGCTGCCACTTGAGCAAGAAGGGGTAGTGATGCATCTGATTTCAAGTGACTGCAAAAGATAAGGCAGCTCAGCCTCTGGCAGCTGCCAAATTTTTTGGGATACCAGCGCTGGAAGGCTGAGGGGTCTGGAAAGCTGGATGGGTGGGTGGGAACCTGCACAGGGGACTTGTACTGCTGCTCTAGGAGCTGCTTCTGTTCTTTCACTGTTTTTCTTTCCCCTTATTTTTGCTTGAATATTCATATAATTATTTTGATGGAATATTTATATAATTGTAATTGAGTGTTTGTCTCAGGATCTTCAAAGGACTTAGAGTAACAACTTAAATGTTGATGAATACTTGAAATCTTATTTAAGGTGGTTTGTTTTTTTTGTCTCCAGATGGCAGTCTGGCTATAGTAAAGTTTGTAGGTTAGGAAAGTGGGTAATTTTAAATATAGATGTTTGAAATATATATATATGTGTATATATATATATATATATGTTATGCAGGATCATTTTAAGAAAATGTGGGCCTAAAGGTTAACACTTGAAATGTCGCTTATGGCTGTACTCAGGACCTGGTAGTAACTGTAAATTATTTCTTGCTGCTTGTGTGTGTGTTTCATGGAGAGCCTGTCAGCCACAGCTCTCCCCCAGCGGTGTGGATGTCCCACAGGTAGCCATGGGAGTGGTGGCTCTGCTTGCTTAGGGATGTACAGCAGTGGGGTTTATGTACAGGTGACAATTCTCATCTTCTCCTGGTCTTAGAGGGATCTTTTAGTGGCTGGTTAGTGCATAGGAAACTCAGGAGTAGAAGGTTTTTGGGTGCTGTTGCTCTAAATCTGAAATAAGTTGCTGCTTGAAAGGGTGAGGATCTCAGGACTGGTGTTTGCATTTCATCAGCCCAGTTCTGAAGACAGGCTGGGAGAGCTGGGGGGGTTCAACCAGGAGAAGGGAAGGCTCTGTGGAGACCTGAGAGCCCCTTCCAGGGCCTAAAGGGGCTCCAGGAGAGCTGGAGAGGACTGGGGACAAGGGCCTGCAGTGACAGGACAGGGGTGGAAAGGCTTCCCATTGACAGAGGGTAGATTTTGATTGGATATAGGGAAGAACTTCTTCCCTGGGAGGGTGGGCAGGCCCTGGCACAGGTTGCCCAGAGCAGCTGTGGCTGCCCCTGGATCCCTGGAAGTGTCCAAGGCCAGGTTGGACTGGGCTTGGAGCAACCTGGGCTAGTGGAAGGTGTTCCTGCCTGTGGCAGGGGGTGGGACAAGATGAACTTTAAGGTCCCTTTCAACCCAAGCCATTCTATGATTCTGTGATGGCCAAGAGTGCCATCTACCCTGGGAAGCCCCCAAACTCGCCCTGCTCTCAGTGCAAACGTGCACGAGTTCAAACTGTTGGTTTGGTAGCAAGAGGCAGAGCCTGTGTCGTGGAGAGGTGCTGCCTTTGGAAACCAAGCTGTGTTTAAAACAAATAACCAGCCAGGAACTGAGAATCAGGCCTGAGAATTGACTTAGTCACGGTCACCACATAATTAAAATTTTGGGGGGTTTAAATATCCATGGTTTTCAAAATAGTTTGCTATTGCCATTCCTTAAATTAATGCTTGGAAGGCTCACACTTGCAGAGAAGCTGCACTTTGCATTCCTTGCATTTTTATCATCATAAAACTGTCCACTGTGAAAATTATCCCAAAGTTTACTGGAAGGGAAGAAGAGTTGCAATTCAGGGATACAGTCAGAACAAAAAACGTCTCATGTCACTTAAAACCCAAAAACCCGCAGAAATGAAATGTACAAAATACAACTATCCTGTTTCAGAATCACCACGTGGCTTTTGTTGGGTTTCTTTGTAGAATTGTGTATTTATTTATTTATTTTCTAATAGGAAGTGTTTTCAGGTGAGCATGAAAGATTCCTGCTGGGAAAGGAGGTGATGTTGATCCTGGGGTTACCTAGAGCTGACAGAGGCACCATTTTGGGTTGATTCCCTTGTGTAGGCAGGAGTGAGTTCTGGGGGTAGTTGTGTTTTGTTTTCTCCCGTCATTCCAGGAAAGAGGGGTCGAGAGCCGTGTTTGCAGCCAGTGGAACAGTTTAAGGAATATCTGTTCTCTGTGACATCCACAGTCGATGTCGCCGCAGTACTTTCACATTTTTAACGTCGTCGTCGTCATCATCATACCAATATAATTTCTGTGGTAGTTTGGCTGAGGCATCCTTTAACAAATTTAAGATCAAAGAGGTGTGCGTGTGTGTGTGTGTGAATATGTATTTATACAGACATATATATATATATTGCTGTATATTATTTGCATTAAGCAGTTATTCCTCCCCCCCGTCTTCCTGTGTGATAGTGCAAATCCATTGGTTTTACCTGCCTGGTGTAAGGATATTAAAGAACACTCTCAGATACTGTCCTCGACACTTACTTTCTCCATTCATAACCCCGACTTCGACGACAAGACCTTGTTATACCTCTGGTTTGTTGCTTCCCTTCCATCACCCTTGTCCCTCTCCCGGTGTCACCGCTGAAGCACAACCCATTGGTCGATTATTCCAAGCAATGACTGTTTTGCATACTACCTTGCTTTGTTTAAGTAATGTTTGTACAGAGAATTCAAAATATAAAGAGCTATATCATTGCTAAGTTTCATCATTATTTTCTTTGTATCAGTGTTTGCTGGTGGCAGCAAAGCAATAAGTGAAATGTTAAAAATACTGTGCGTGTCCTTAGAGTGGTGGTTTTTGGTTACATCCTGGAGAGCTGGCTGGAGCGTGGGAGAGGGGAAGGCAAGAAAGTATGTGACAGGTCTGGAACATGTGGACTGTGCCAGGGTGTGGGAAGGGCTGTGCCACTGCTGCTGCACTTCAAAAATGCTGGTTTGCCCTCAGGTCCCAGGTGGGTGTGTCCCTGACTTCTGCATGGTGGTCACCAGGGTTCCCTCCCAGCCCGTGTCTGCCACTGGGTTGGGATCGTGGTGCACGTGGTGGCAGCCTCGAGCCCTGCTGTGGTGAGAACTGGGTGAGCCTGGGAGGTGCCAGCACTGCCCAGGCTGGGAACCCAACTCCCCACGGCTGGGGACAGCAGGAGACCAACCACCTGAGGCTCGCCTCTGATCAGCACCTGTCCCAGCAGAGCAGCAAAGTCTGGTCCTGCAGAGGGCTGCAGCGATGGCTGAGGAAGGGCAGGGAGCTGCTGACACGTGGCCTGTCTGGATCCAGCCCTCTGGAAGCAGGTACAGAGCTCACAGGCCACTGAGACACTGCTTTCCCCGTGTACCTTTTCGTGCACCAGCATAGCCAGCTGTTCATCTGACCCTGCGTGGAGGAAATACGTCCTAAAAAGGAGTTAGGTCCAGGTCAGTTCTGCTCCACAGCTCGTGGGACTGAGTGGATTGCAGCCCTCAGGCAGGTATTTGTTCTCCCCCTCACCTGGCTCATCAGATCAGTTTCTGAGTGGGAACAGGAGCAAGGTGGGAGGTCCCCTGCACGGGTGATGCACCCTTTTTGGAAAGACCCTTTGTAAGCTCTGTGACCTTTCCTAGGAACGAGAGGGCAAGCAAAGACCGGGTGTGAACAAAAGACAACTCCATCAAGTGTCAAAGTGGCCTCTGAGGTGATGGCTTGATGGGTTTAGGTAGGACTGGATGCTCTCAGAGGTCTTTTCCAACCTCACTGCTTCCCTGGTTCCGTGCTCCTGTCACCGGCCTCGTGCTCCCCAGCTCGGCCACAATTTGAATGATGCTGGGGAAGTGGCACCACGTCGAGAGGCACCAGGAGCGGCTCCCGGCCAAGGCAGTGTCCCCACAGCCTGGTGGGGCTGGGTTTTGTCCAGCCAGGTGACAACCCTGCCTGCTGGGCCCGTCTGGGCTCAGGGATCTGTTGCACCAAACTCAGAGGTAGGTACCCAACTGAGGGCAGTTACAAAGGGAGGGTGGTGATGGCTGGGGCGGGGAGGGCAGGTGGAGGAGCTGTTCCCCCGGAGGTGGAGCTGTGTTTACTCAGTTTACTTGACTTTGAAAGTCAAGCATTTTGAGAAAATGTCTACCAATGTGGACAAACGTGCACCAATCCTATTACACACACCTCTAGTTGAGGGTAATTTTTAACTGTTTTGATGACCAAAATAATTTATTTTCTCTGTACATCTCCAATATGTATTTTTTTAATACATAAACATCCAGTGTCTCCTAACTAAACTACAGTAATCATGCCATGGGGTCAAAGATGCACTAAGCCAAATTTGATGCACAGTGCCGTAAGCACAGGAATGTTCCCTCTCTACACCTTTCTGTTTTACATACAGGTATCAGATATCAATTTATACTCGGTATTAAAAAAAATTACTGGTAAAATTTAACTTAAAGGCTATATATTGTTCAAAACCATGCTGTTTCAGTGCTAAATTTGCCTTCCAGCTGTCAAACACTTTTACCAGGTAAAATAGGAGCTCAGCATAGTAAATGCATGGCCACAGCTGACAAGCTACTTTATGAAGGCCAAGAAACAAATAAATAAAATACAAAATAAAAATAGTATGAGGTAGATGGACTCTTTGGACTCTGCAAGACTGAAAGTGTATGAGGGTGCATACAGGTGTGGAAAAAAGGTGCACTATACACATACAAAGGGAATGCCAAAGGGCTTCTGTTCTCGGTGTATGGGAGCAGCTGCTGGAGGTTTTAAGGCTTGAACCTGGGCTATGAGAGAGTGAAGAAATGTGCTGGTAAATGGAGCTTTGAAGGGACGTGCTTAGCCCCAGTGGGTGGTGACAGCACTTGAATGGGATGTGACTGCTGAGAAGAAAAGTGTGTAAGAAAAGTGTTTCCAAATGTCAGGGCCCAGCTCTGAGCGCACGTTTGTCTGTGCAGAGCTGTGACTGGAAACTTTTCAGTTTGGATTCGGACTGCAAGAAGGACAGATTTGTGACAGCACAAATTGCTTTGGGAGCTGTGGCAGCTGCCCCAGTCCTTCAGGACAGGCCTTTGGGCTCTGGGCCCCACCCCAGCGGGGCTGGCTCTGCAGCCGTTCGTGGCTTCACAGCACAGCCTCGTGTTCCTCCCAGGACAAGAGCATCTCAAGCCTGAATGAAAACCTCTTGCAGTGCCACTGTGACCTTCCTATCCTGTACATAGCTGGGGGAGCTCTGCAGGCACCTCATGCTTCCTCTGTAAGTAGCCAGTGGTGCAGGTATTTGGTACATGATGACATCCAGTTGATCAGGGTTAGTCTTAGCTTTATGCCTCAAAGACTTTAAACTGTATTTAAGTTGTACGTGTTCGAATTTCAGTTGTAGTAACGGTATTAAATGGGGATTGTATTGATTTAAACTGCAGTCCATTTTGTTAAATGTGAATTTTATTAAACTGTGCTCAGAGGAGGCCCTGAGGGGACAGGGTGTGGGAAGGCCTGAGCAATTGGGGGGCAGAGGATGTAAGCAGGGCCCAGGCAGTCCCCTGGTTCCCTGCCAGCCGGCTGCTCTGGCGCTTCCCCAGGGCATCTCCCATCCCAAGGCGTGGGTGCTGCAGGCTCTTCCCTGGGAGCAGGAGCAGTCCCTGCCTGCTTTGATTCCTGTGGCAGCTCGGTTCCTCCTGGGGGAGAGACTGGTGCTCCCAAGATGAGCATGGACAGAGCTCTCCCGTCCTTCAACCTAAAACCCCACAGGGAACCACGTATGGTATTTCCCCGTGGTTCTTCCTTATTCTTTTGTGCTCTCGCAATACTGAAGCCCTTGTATTTCTCTTGTATTTAATAGACAATTTTCCAGTGGGTTGGCTGCTCGCAGTTTTTCTCTGTTTCACCACAGAATCGGTTGTAAGTTGTTTTTGGATCAAATCCCAAGATCTCCCTTTCCTCGTGGATTCGGAAGGAAAATGTTGAAACTGAGGTGCCTATAAAATACCTGTGAAAAAAATCAGAAAGGGTATGTGAGGGGGACCAAGATTTTAAGTGCAAGTAATTGATTTCAAGTCCAATGAACTTTACTGTTCGTTGAAACGATACGATAAATGAAATGATAAGAGATATACACTCTATACACAATAATGTAATTGAGATGTATACTATAGATGTGTATCTTAGATGATTTGTAAACAACTCCAGCTGGGCCGAAAATCACGTTCAGTCTTCTGACAGTGACATTAAGATTTGGCTCCTCAGATAAAAAGTCAGGCTCGATACCTTGCGTGTGCACAAATCCACTGGTCAATCACAGCCAAGCCCCCATCCTTATAGAGCTCCAGCTCCTCCCAGGAGGGTTCAAACCTCACCATCTCGGGCAGCAGTTTCTTCAGCAACTCAGTCTCTGAGAAAAGGAAAGACTCAATTTTACCTCGACCTTACGAAGAACAACTTCAGAGGACCCTTCCCACCAGCATGTCCAAAAGTCTCTGAAATGCTAAGAGGAAATGTGGGATGGAAGAAAGAGGAGGAGGAATAGGCAAATTCAATTCCCAACTTCCCACTGTTAAACCTTCTATGGGAAATAAATGAATGGTCTGATCCCAACTGCTCAAGCTGGAAGGATACAGCTGCCCAGACCTGCTCAGTTCCTGTTCAGTGATGGAGGCATATGAACTCCCAGTCATTTGTAAAAAAGTGAAGCGGTAATTGCAGCACTCATTGTCAAAAGTTACCAACCCTGAAGTGAGTGGGATCTGCCTACCCTCCTCGACAGCGTCAGTGGCTACAAAAACTTTCTCGAGCTTAAGCGTCTCCAGGAGGCTGCGGATTTTCTTTACTGCTCCCTGCAGGGAAGGCACATCTTCTCGGTGACCCCAAATGAAGTCTTTCCTTCTGAGATGAACCCCAAGGTACGGACCACCCAGAGCTGTGCCCGTCTTAACCTACGAGACAAAGATCACCAAACTTTAAAACTCAAGAGCGCCGCAGTGTTCACACCGAAAGGGCCAGAATGCCTCGTCTCTGGATAAAAGGCACCGAATCACTCCAGCTGCACCAAGAAATTCACACCCACTCATTGATGCTGAATGCAGGAAGCAACTCAGGTTTCCTTTACCGGGATGAGGGCAGCAAAGATCTGCCACCACGCCCTGCAGCACAGAAATGAAACAAAAGATGACGTCTGCTGCAGGAAACAGAGCGTCGTGGTTCTACCTTCATCTGCGTCCAGTCCTCCTTGTAGTGAGTCCTGTCTGCCTCATCCGTGGATTGGAGGTGCTTCCTCCTAAACTCATCTCCCACCACACGGAGGTGTTTAGCGAACACCATGCTCCGACGGGTCTGGGGGGAACAAGAGACCGAGCTGGGAAAAAGGGAGAGCTAAAAACGAGGAAACGGAGGTGGCTGCACATGCACAGCACTTTCAGAACGCGGTTACTTCTGGGACATCCATGCAGCAATATAAGCAACGGTTTCTAACCTTTCATCCGAGGTGGAACTGTCTAATTCTAATTATAATCAAATTTATAACCAGCACACTCACCTGCCCCTGCCATACATAGGTGTAGGGAGTAAACTGCAGTTACCACTGCTCACAGTCACACACAGCCCTTTTATTAACAGGCACACGCAACAGAAGGAAGGAAATCCCAGTGGCTTACGCTGCTTACAGAGGACACCTGGCAGTTTGGTCTAATTCTTCATTTTATGCAAGTCTGTCGTGTGATGGCCACCAAGGAAGGTGCAACAAAAACACTCCAGGCCAAGGCCTTTTCTGTTTTCCCTATTAAACTGTCTTTTATCTCAACCCACGAATTTTTCATGTTCCTGTGGCTAAGCCTCTCAACTTTTTCTTAAAACTTTTAGTGTAGGAATTATTTTACCATAGACCCTTGGGAGGGGTTTCCCAAAGTGATCAGAGTTACCATGGCATAGTCCCATCGGGAATTCTTGCCATTGAAACACTGACATCAGGGAGAGAGCTGAGACACACTACTGATGCAGCTCTGAGAGAGATTCTTTCCTCCTGATGAAGTCTAAGCCTTGAGGCTGACCAAGCAAGACACTGACTGACCTCCTGTGTAGATGTGTATGTAAACCCACTGGGGCAAGGCACTTAGAGTGCCACTGCCAAGAAGTGTGATGGATCCACATGGATTTCAGGTCTGCTTTTACAGGTCCACAAGTCAAGACTCAAAAATAATCTGCGGGCTGCATTTCTCTGTTTGGAAACTCACTCTCAATGAAAAATTCAAGGTTAGAAAACTACTGTTTGCTCCATTTCTGAAAAATAGGCAAAACTCAAGCCTGTGGAGGTTAATGAATTTTCAGCAGAGGCAAGTAAAAAGTCTAGAGAAGCTAACTGAAGAATACTCACATTCCAGTAATCTTTCCCTCCGTAGTGGTCATGAAGAAGGTTTTCAGCTCTGTCTAACATCACTGACCTATTAAAAAATTGTAAAACTGAGTGCAGTTCCTTTGGGAATAGGATTTACATTACAACATGTGCTTCTTTATACATTTGCTAGGATAAAGCACAAGCTATGATCTGTTTGCAAAGGGAGCAGAGGGAATGAGGGACAGGCTGCCAATCTGTTCCCTAGAAAGCAAATTGTGACCCACAGCCTGCTGGGGGGGAGAAGGGAACCACGCTGTCACCGGCAAGGATTGCGGTGGAACTCCTACAACAGGAGAACATTCCTGTTAAAAACCAGCACTTTGCTTACACACAGGGTGGCAAGGACATTCAGCTGCCTGAGAGAGGGTTTAAAGGAGCTGAAGGCTATTTCCTCTTACATTTCAGCACTGCAGCACTTCACTGAATTCAGTTCTGTAATGATTGTAATGGTTTACAGCAACTCAGCGGTGAAGCACCACAACAGTGGGGCACAGCCTTTAAGTTCCCCCTGCTCTTCACACCTGGCAACAGGTACAAGGCAACAGCAAACAGTAAGACGAGGCAACTCACTGTGCTGAAGTGTTCTTCAGAAGGATGGGAGCCACGATGGAAGCAGATCCTTGGACAGACAAACAGGAGACGGTCAGGCCTCGTGTTTCCTCGTAGCCCCAGAACCAGCCCCTAAAAGGGAACACCAAGGATTGGCTCACAGGTGTGTGTTTTACATTAATGCCATAAATAATAGCAACACAAATAAGCAGTGCATCCCAGAAAGACAAAATATAATGCCAGCAAACCAGCCACCTCCTTTGTACTGTTTTGGTGTGAAACAACAACTTTCTGAAGTTAGGTTTACTCATATCGATACATTTTGTTATTGATCCATTTTTTTAAATACAAAGTGAACCCCAGCCATCCAGGGATTCACAGAACTCATTGCAACAACCACATGAGTCTGTTCTGTTAAAAGCAGGCAACTGTCTCACTGAATACCACTGAAAAGAAGACCAAAAGGACTGCTAGACATTACCTGTAGTAGTCATGTTTGTCCTTGGAGTACATCAGCTGATCAATGCATGGCCTTTCATTGATTTTTTCTTCCCATGTTCCTTCTTTCCATCCTTCTGCATAGCCTTGTAGCACATAAATCTGCTCAATAAAGGGCCCACCTGACTCTGAGAAGAAGGCAAAGCAAAGGATTTGTGAGCACGAAAACCCACATGAGAAAGGTATGACCTAGCACCACTTGCAGTTAAAAACCTGCCAGAAATGCCAGTATGACACTCCTCTCTCTTCCCTGTTTTCCCTCTAAAAAATGGAAAACAAATTCTGTGTGAGCCAGAGAAGTTAAAAGGGTCAGGCAGCGTGACCACCTGCTACTCCCACCCAGCTTCCGCGTGATGTGATGTGCCAAACGCAGCGGTGTGACCACGGGAGTGCAAATCTGTGGCCAAAACTAGGCAGAAATCTCCGTGAATTTAACCACGTGCATTAACTCTCTGTCTCTGGGGGCCATAGGAAGTTGACATCAAACAAGGTGGCATCAGACCAGCTGCGAAATAATTGGATTGTTTCATCCCAGTGGTTTTGTAACTCGGTAAAACTCCTTCCCAGCCGTCCTCTCACCATCTCAAACCTTTTTAATCATTTCACATATAAGGATAAAAACCCTCTCTACGCTGTGAAGAAACCACCTGAGATATTTAGCCAACTGTAGAGCTGCACGGTCCAATACTCCACCTGCAAGGAACTGCTCATATTCAATGACAGGGATGTTCCTGTTGAGGCTTGGGACATCAAAGAACGCGGACCAAGGGATCCGGACCTGAAGGATATCGGGGCTCTGCCAGTGATAAAGCCTCCCCCAGGGAGGCAGGACTAACACCCAGTTTTCACTTTTCCTCAGGGTCTTCACAAGGGAAGCAATGCGGATGTAGACGTCTCTGCGAAGGTTGAACCCCTCAGGGGGGTTTACATCGTACAAAAGGTATCTGGGGAAAACAGAGGAATACCAAAGCAAAGGAATGCCGTTACTTTGGGGATGGGGCTTGAGACTTTTTACCACCCCACCCTCTGCCCCATCACGCGGTGCAAACTCAGGCTAATTCTTGCGAGATGAACATAAAGGCAGGAGGACACGTTCCAGAGGAGCAGGGGAAAAGGGTGCATCTGGGAGCTGGTGGGTCCCCTCAACACCACCTTCCAGAAACGACCGGCAGGTGAGGGAGGCCCTTATGGTTTGTAGACATGGGGGGGGTCACCTGTGCAAGGGACCCACCATGTCCCCTCGGGAGACAGGAGGGGCGTGTGATCCTGGTGGGCAGGATCGCCCTAGGGCTGGACACGGTGGTGCCGCCACTCCTCCTGTCGGAAATATTGTAACTTTCCTAAATTTTAATCAATGGCAGCCGATGGCTGGGTTTCTTTGCACAGACTCCTGACCGTTTTATCTTTAAACCAACGAAGCTTCATAAGCTCCAACATACAAAAGCCTGATGGAGATGAAGACTGCACATGGGGGATCGTAGATCTGTGCTCCTCTAAAGACACGTGTGAATAAGCAGAAGGCGCAGAAGAGATTAACAACGATGCTAGAGCCCGAAAACTGGGGAAGAACGGTTAAGAGGACCAAGGAAGGCGGACCGAGGCAGCGTCGGAGGGGTTCTCGCTTCCCCCGGCGGCGCTCACCTGGTGCGCGGGGCGGCGGCGGCGGCGGGCAGCGAGGAGGCGGCGTGGCCGGCGCGGAGGGCGGCGGGCGGCGGCTCCGGGGCTTGGGCGGCGAGCACGGCCAGCGCGGCCAGGCCGAGCAGCAGCCACGGGGCCGCCATGCCCTGCCTTCCCCCCCCCCCGTACGCCACGTCCGGGGCGGTCCCTCAGAAGAGGCCGGCGGTGAGGGGCCTCAGCCGGGAGCCGGTGAGGCGGTTCAGCTCCTCCAGGATCTCCGCTTCCTTGCGGTACATCTGCGGGAGCGGCCGCGGTCAGCGCCGCCCGGGGTAGCCCCGCGCATCCCCCCCCTACACACACACACACACCTCACTCCCTCCCCCCCGGCGCGCTCCGCACCTGCTCCCACGCGTGTTTCGTGTCGTGCCGGTAGCCGAGCAAGTGGCACAGTCCGTGGGCTGCCGTCACCTGCGCAAGGGGGGAGAGCAACTGTGTGACCGCCCGCCCGCTCACCACCACCACCCCCACCACCACCCCCCCGGCGCTCACCACCAGCACGCCCTCAAAGTCCTCCCCGGCGTCGCGGCACTGCTGGTGGATGTACTCCACTCCCAGGAAGACGTCCCCCAGGTTGTACTCCCCGCGGCACCGCGGCCGCGGCAGCTCGCCCGCCGCCGCCACCCGGTGGAACGGGAAGGACAGCACGTCCGTGGGCTCCGGGCGCTGCCGGTAGGCGCCGTTCAGGCGCCGCATCAGCGCGTTGCCGGCGCACACGATGCCCACGTCGAAGCAGGAGGCGCCCAGCGCGGCGCGCAGGGCGCACACGGCGCGGCGGAGCGGGGCCCTCCGCAGGGGAACGGAGCGCTGAGCGTTCCGCACCACCACGCTCATGGCGGCACCGCCACCGGGACCCCGCCCGCCGGCACCGGGACCCGCCCGGACGGGCGGGTCCCGGTGCCGGCGGGCGGGTCCCAGTGGCGGCGGGCGCGCCCCACCGGCCGAGTCACCACCCATCTCCCCGCCCATGCAACCGCCCCCTCGCTCAACCGCCCGCCGCTGCCATTCTTCCCCTGCGCTGCCTCCTGCCCGCTCCCGGCGCTCTGAGGCGGCCGCCGCCGCCATCATGAGCTCCCGGGGCCCGTTCCGCGGCCCGCCCTCCTTCGCGCCGCCGCTGCGCTTCGGCCAGTCCGCCGTGTTCGGCCAGGGCGGCGGCCCCGCCGGCCTCCCGTTCGCCGCCGGGCCCTCCGCTCCCTTCGGGCCGCCCTACGCGCTGGGCCAGCCGGCGGGCAACGCGGCGTTCAGCTTCAGGCCGCCCACCAGCCTGGGCGGCTTCTCGGGCCCGGGCGAGGCGCCGGGCGGTGTCGGCGGGGCTTTCGCGGCTCCTGAATTCCGCTTCAAGGCGCCCGAAAGCGCCGCCGCCGCCGCCTCCTTCAAGCCGGTGCCGGGCGGCGAGGCGGAGAAGGGCCCGCCCGCTCCCGCCGCCTTCGCCTTCTCGCCGCCCTTCGGCTTCGCGCCGGAGCCAGGCCCCGAAGCGGCGGCGGCGCGGGAGTCCTTCTCGTTCTCTCGTCCCGCCGCGCTGGGCCGGCCGGAGGACAGGGGCCCGCGGGCGGCGCCGGAGGAGCCGGGCGAGCCGGCGCCCAAGGGGCTGAAGCGGAAGGAGGAGCGGGAGCGCTCCCCGCGGCGGGCGGCGGTGGCGGGCGGCGGGCGGGCGGCGGTGGCGGCGCCGCCGGAGAAGCGGGCGGTGGTGCTGAGCCGGCCCCGCGGCGGGGCCCTGTTCGGCCGCACGCTGGAGGAGATGCTGCGCAGCCAGGCCCGCGAGCACCGAGAGCGCGGGGACGGCGCGGAGCTGGAGCGCGGCGCCAACGAGGAGCCGGCACCGCCGCCGCCGCCGCGCCGAGGTCCCGCGGGAAGCTCCGCGGGCGGGGATGAGGTGGTGGTGGTGGTGGTGGTGGTGATGGTGGTGGTGGTGGTGGTGGTGGGGCAGCCCCGCTTTCCGACTGCCGGCACCCCGCTCTCTGACCGCCGTCGCGTTCCTCCCCGCCGCAGATGCCGCCCCCGCCGCCCCCGCCCGCCGGGCCCGCGGCAGCGAGAGCACGGAGGGGCTGGGGGGCCTGCCTGCCGCCGAGCTGACGGCCATCCAGTGCAAGAACATCCCGGATTACCTGAATGACAGGACTGTGCTGGAGAAGCATTTTGGCCAGTTCGTGAAAGTCCGGCGGGTCATGACCAGGCGCAATAAGAAAATGGCTATTCTTCACTTCTTTGATCACGTGAGTGTCAGAAGTGGACGGCACAAGGGTTGGGAGTATTCAGCGTGGAGAAGATAAATCAATCTCCAGGGATACCTTAGAACACCTTCCAGTGCCCAAAGGGGGCTTACAAAAAACAGGGAGAGTGACTTTTTACGGGCATAGCAGGTAGGAGGAGGACAAGGGGGAACAGTTTAAAGTAAAAGAAGAGTTACTTTTATGTTACTTAGATGTTAAGAAGAAATTCTTCCCTGTGAGGGTGGTGAGGCCCTGGCACAGGTTGCCCAGAGAAGCTGTGGCTGCCTCATCCCTCTAAGTGCTCAAGGTCAGGTTAGGTGAGGCTTGGAGCAACCTGGGCTAGTGGAAGGTGTACCTGCCCTTGGTAGGGGTTGAAGTTGGATGGTCTTTCAGGTCCCGGTGCTGAGGTGTGTTAAGCAGCCAGTTCAGAGACTGCGTGGTCTGATCCTGTTTTGTGCTTAAAAACACACCTCTATTTTCAACTGCTCTAAATTTGCTGTAGCTCTTAGAAAAGCAGCAATTTTTTTGGTGGGAACTAGTCCAGCTGATTGTTCTTAAGTGAGGGGTTAAAATGTAGGTCTTAAGTGAGAGGCTAAAATGCAGCAACCAGAATTCTGTGGGAGTGGGTAAACGTTTTTCTGGCAAAAACTGTGCTGTGAGTTTTGGTGTTGTGGTGCCAACAGGTTTTCATGCTCTTGCTTTCATTTTCTTTCAGGCCTCTGCAGCTCTTGCCAGGAAAAAAGCGAAAGAGTTACACAAAGACATAGTAACGTTTTGGCAAAAGAAGAAGACGAGTAAGTCTGTGTTTCCATATTACTGGGTGATGTATAAACAGCATTCTAGCTGCTCCTCTGTTTTCCTGATGTGCTGAGAATGATATCAAAATTATCTCTAGTAGGAGATACGGGTAAAAATTGCACTGTTCTTTTCTTAAATTCCTGTTTGTTTGATCTGAAGCAAAATGCTGTTTCAGCCATAAAAATAGCTGAAGACACCTGAAATGGCAGTGTAGTTTTAGAAGAGAATTCAGAAACCCTTTATGCAGCCCCACAACAGGAATATGGTGATGTTAACTCTGTGCATCTGCCTACAAATAGGATTTCTTTGGGGTGTAAGAATACCCAGTTTGAAATGCTTTGCTGTCCACCTCAGACCATGGACTGGGATGTGGACTTCCAGTTTTCAGGGAGCTGGCCCGAGAACCAAGTTAAGGAGTACTCTGGAGCTGAGTGTCTGTTTTGCTGAGGTTGCTGTTATGTGCATCAACAGCTACACTCTGAACCAAAAAAAGAGAACAATTTACAGAGTTTAGAATTGGGAAACCCTGATTCCAGACCCTGTTTGGGATTAGGAGGAGATTGTTAAACCCCAGGCAAACCCTGGAACTGTCAAGTGCTTCCCTTTCTTTATGAATGCAGGGTATGCACTTGATCCCAGCCTGGGGATTCACTTCACCTGCAGCATATGAATGGTTCACTTCAGCTTTGACCAGCCAGACTTGCCTTCCAGGAAACAGCTGCAGAGTTGTCTTGCTGAAAATTAACATCTTGAAGCAGCAGCTCTAGGGCTGCCTCTTTTGCCTTTGTCATTTTATTGTGGTGCTACATCCCCGGCAGCACTCTAGAATTAACATTCTGAGAGGATTTAGGAAATCCAACCCGTTTAAAAATTGTTCCTGGGAGAAGAAATTCTCCCTCCCTGCAAGTGTGGGTGTAAGTTGTGCCGAGCTTAGTCAAAGCTTGGTTACTTAAACACTTAAAATGCTGCAGGAGGAGCACGGGGAATTGTGACTTACACAGGTGAAGTGGATTCTGTGTCCCATAGGGAGTTCTGACTTGTGGATTATATCCCAAACCTGAGAGAATTTGGGTGATGATCAGACTTCATTTACTGACAATCTGCTGACAATTGCAGTTATTGATAAGTGATATTTTATTGAAAAATACTCTATATAGAACAGTGACTCTGATAGCAATTGATAGAAACTTAACTTGGTGCAGCTCCTAGTGTGAGTTGTCCTGGAAGTTTTGTGTGCATGTACAAAACTGTGGCTTCTATTTTCCAGTAGTATTTTTGGTAAAACAAACTGCCCACCACCAACCCCAAGGGGTCAAGAAGGAGCTGTTGCTTAAATTGCTTGGCAGGTTTCATGTTTACGTGTCACTTCAGGTCCAGCCAAACGAGAATTTTCGTCCAAGGAGAAGAAAGCAGGGGAAGATGAAGGAAGGCAAAGCAGCGAAGAGCAAAGCTATCAACATTCCCCGCTTCGGAAACCTTTAATAAGATCCTCTGGCAGCAGTGCCATGCCTGGGAGGAGGTATGTCTGCTTCTCTGGGAATCCACCTGGCAGGAAACGGGGAGCGTGGAGAAGAATTATGGTCAGAGTGTGCTGAACAGTCACGTTCTCGTCAGGGAGCGTCGCTCCCCTTCTCTTCTGGTTTGCCTGTGTTACGAGCACACCGCTCTCACACTTGGTCAGAAAGATGCTCCTAGCTGCATATTAAGGCCTTTCACTTTGGTTTCTGTATTTCTTTTGAATGTTTTGCCCCTAACAACAAAACAGCACCTGCAGTACTGGGGCATGAGGGAATTGAATGAAACGGTGCAGAGCCAAACCAAGACCAAGCAGTAGTGACACTGTCAGTGGTCATGATTCAACGAGCTCCTGAAGAGAGCAGTTTGCTTTGTAGGCAGTCAGAATTCTGTGGAATCAGAGTCCTCTTTTTTGGAGTGCTTTGGATCATTGTCTTATCTCACTTGGAGTCAACAGTCTGCACAGGAATCCTCCTGTTTCGTGGTAGTCACAGAAGTGGCAAGGTTGTCGTCTTTCTCTCATACTCAGTGGTGTGTCGGGTCTGACAAAAATAATTTGACATGTGTAGTCATATAACTATGAAATCAGTAACGTGTTGTGAAGGAATCCTTGAGTTAAAAAGAGTGTTTACCCTGTATAATCTTTTAATAATCTCTCTTACTTTGGAAAGCATTTGCTGGTTTTTTTCCCATGGCAGCAGGTCGATTCCTGTCTTAAAATACAAACTGCTGTACCACAGTGATCAAAAAAATGCTACAAGAACCATCTGTTTCTGTCTTCTCTAAGACACTTTCAGTAGTACCTTTTCTGTTGGACAAAGGTTGAGGCTTTCCTCACAGTCCAGAAACACTTGGCAGCGTTGCCAGGGCAGTGCTGAGGATTTAGCCAGATTAACTCCCAGTGCTGGTGTTAGCTCAGAACAACCTCAGCACATCCAAACGAGCTTCCTTTATTTGATGCGTTGCCTTGTGAACAAAATACTCTTCTAAACAAATGCTAGCATCCTGAAGAACAGTGAGCTGATTAAGACAGGGCACGCACTAGTGTGTTATTATTGATTAAAAAAACCTTCTCCTTTCAGTTCTCCAGCAAAGAAGCCCGGTCTTCGAAAGGCACTGCAGTTTGAAGCAGATCTGTTTGATTCTAGTTCTGAAGGGCAGAGCTCAGAGGGCTTGGGAGCTTCCCTGTCATCCCTTGGTAACCTGGTGGGATTGGTGGCAGAGACATCTGAAGAGAGGTACCGGCTGTTGGACCAGAGGGACAAAATCATGCGGCAAGGTAATGACACGAGTCGATGAGTGTAACATCTGCTGCTCTGCTGGAAAAAAA